TTGTTATCGAACGCCACATCTTCTCTTCACATTTTGTGCCGATTATGAATGACTATACTGAGTTTATTTTCGTACTGGTTAAAATTAATACTAGTAAAAATAGCTTCTTTCTATAGCGCTCATATCCTGCGCACATGGTGTTTTACAATGTTAAAGAGGAAAAAAAATTATATCTCGAACATGAAATAACATGTATTAAAATCTATTTGAAATTCACAAAGAACAAGAGAAGGAAACAAGAATTCATCTGTTTTAAAATTATTTTGCCTTTAAAGTTTATATATAATGATAATAAGTCGTGCAAAAAACTAAATATACATTCTATAAGTATACGTATATGATCTGCAGATATTAAAGACGTTTTACAAAAGTACTGACTTACTCTCTAAAAATTGCGTAAAAAGATTTGTTCTCAGTCCTTTCTTTCAACTGGCTAAAGATGGTGACTTGTGAAAATCTAGCTAATGGTAGTGAGTGTTTTACAATGTTAAAGAGGAAAAAAAATTATATCTCGAACATGAAATAACATGTATTAAAATCTATTTGAAATTCACAAAGAACAAGAGAAGGAAACAAGAATTCATCTGTTTTAAAATTATTTTGCCTTTAAAGTTTATATATAATGATAATAAGTCTTGCAAAAAACTAAATATACATTCTATAAGTATACGTATATGATCTGCAGATATTAAAGACGTTTTACAAAAGTACTGACTTACTCTCTAAAAATTGCGTAAAAAGATTTGTTCTCAGTCCTTTCTTTCAACTGGCTAAAGATGGTGACTTGTGAAAATCTAGCTAATGGTAGTGAGTTCCACAGTTTAGGGGGGCACACTGAAAAAGTCTTTTCCCCGTGAGTTTTCGGGGTTGTTCTAAGAGCTGCTGAGATGCGGACCACAAGTTCCTGGAAGGTCTTCGATAACTGTCCACTAGATAGCTAGGTGGAAGGGTATTAAGTGATTTGAAAACTGACAAAATAAGTTTATAAAAACAACATGATAACTAACAGGAAGCCAGTGAAGGTCAAATAAATGATGTGTTCGCAAAGTTTACGAGTCCGAGTAACGATCCTAGGGGCAGTGTTCTGAACATATTATTAAAAGTTCCTTCAAGTGCATTTTCCTACAACCATAGAGCAAAGAATTGCAATTAATAGTCTGTTTGAGATGTAATAAAAGCATGCACTGCAATTTCGCTAGACTCCTGTGTGAGACACTTTCTTATCTTTGATAAATTCCTGAGTTGGTGAAACGATAATCTGCAAAAGAATGCTGGGACGTGTGCGCCAAACAGCAAGTTGTCATCAAATACTACTCCCAGGCTTTGTTGGTGGTGGTTCTTAGCCTTGCATTACCCATAATGACGTCGCTAAAGGGTGGACGAGTACGGTACATCGACAAGATAAGCATGATTTCAGTCTTATCACGATTGAGTTTAAACTAGTTTCTACACACCAAGATGGAAATCAGTTGGGATCGTTGTCATATTTACCTAGGGTGAGAATCGAAAAGAGAGGATCTGAGAAACCCATTAATTTAACGGAACAATTATTCATAGAACGCTCCTTGACAATTTACTAGAATTCAAGAAACAGGACTGTGCCGTCTTGTTGCAGTTAAGTTTCATATTGAAATCACTACAGTAGTAAACACGTTACTGAAGTGCAAAGTGGCATCAATCCTGTCACCTTACCTCCAAGTTAGAAAAAGCAAACTAGAAAAGAGAAAAAAGTATGTTGAAGCAGATCAGAAACAGCCAGTTGGAGATTGTGGCACCAAACGAGCTTGTAAGACTGACACTATAGCGGAACTGCAAAGTGTGTGCCTCTGTTTTTAACGAATACAGCTTAATATGAAGTTCGGCAAGTATAAAGAAATGTGTATTATTGTCCACTGCATTTGCTCTGTACTCAGTGAGTTCAACAAATGCTCTTGATTTATTTAATTTCTCGTCTTCCTCGACCTTCCAGGCTGCTCCACTTTTCTTCTTGCGTTCCTCTGACATGTATGCCTATTTCGCACTTCAGACTTTTTAGTACATTTTCAAGGAGCGTTCCATAAATTAATGCTTGTACCGTTAAACCAGTGGCCTCTCAAATCTTCTTTTGTTGATTCTTGGCAAATATAACAACGATCCCAGTTAATATCCATCCTGGTGTGTAGAAAACATCTCAGCTTCAGAAACCTTTAACGAACCAGGAAGTCAATAAACTCAGTATGGTCATTCATAATCGGCACAAAATATGACGCGAAAATGTAGCTTTCGATAACAAATTTATCCCCAAGAAGAGCTGAAAACTTCACTTAAACCTGTCGTAATTCAAATTGTGCACAATTTCCCCTAACAAACGGCAATTTATTCTAGGAGATACTTACAGTCAATGAAAAGACACCTTCAAGCCGCCATCTTGAAAGGCTATTTGGGACTGAGTACAAGTCTGAAAACATCTTCCTTGGATCTTCCATTTAGTTGACTTTTTTTGTCATTGGTTTCAATAATAATACAATTTCTTTTTTTATTTTCTTGTCTTTCATGTGATTTTCATCAAAATAATGGCAAAAATCAAGGAATTGATATTTGTAGCACAGGATACCCACCATGGTATATCATAATTGCTATATCATTAAGTTGACTTGTTTTAGTCATTGGTTTCAATAATAATAGTGTTAATACAGTTTCTTTTTCCATTTACTTCCCTTTTTATGTGATTTTCATCAAAAAATGGCAAAAAACAATTGATAGCAATTTTCGGCACAGGCCACCCATCATGAAGGTTGTTGAAGAACTTCAGCGAGCAGTTGCTGCAAATCCTGAAGAGGTTGCTGTGGGCACCGATCCTAATATTGACTAATATGCCCTAAGCTACAACCATGCAAAGTTTGCTGCTTTTGTCCACTCTGTATAGATCTGAGCCTTTAGCCACCTGACTAGTATGCTTCTCGAGCAAAAGGATGTTCACTTTATCTCGGTGGGATTCAGGAAATTAGTTGTGTTTTTCTCTTCTGGTGAACGGAATATTGAATCTTTGCAGTGAACGGCTATGTAAATTGTGAAAAAGCGTGAATACCGATCGTGCAAGGCCTTGTTTTTGTGGGACATCTTTGCAGTTGTTTTTTAAAGTACCTGAAGAAGTGAATTGTTTTAGTCAAATTGCTAGCTGTCAAATTGGAAGTGTAATTTTCCCAGTTTCAGCTGATTATTTTTCCTCCTTGGTTAATTCACCGCATATAGTTAAACCTGCCTCAAGAGGAAAAGTCAGTAAATAAATAAATGAATAAATTAATTAACATCTTCCGTTCTAAAAGACGAACTTACGGTTTTTATTTCCAGCCTTTAGTCTTTCCGTCCGACTTACTCAGGTCAGTGAAAAAAATACGAAACTGCTTTTCACAAAGGATCTGGCATACTGTATTTTGAGGACTGGACTGGACTGGACTTGTAAAACGAGGACTAGTAAAACACGGACTTTTAAAACGTGGACTTGTAACAGGAGGATTAGTAAAAGGAGGACTTGTAAAATGCAAAAAAAAATGTTGGCTTCATTAACACGATCATCTACTGTCAAAGAACTTCTCAAGTGAAAATAAGGGGTATCATAACTCTTAACATCTATATTATTGTTATTGAACTGGCTGCTTAAAGATTCGATGAAACACAATTATGATTATGAACTGGTGATAAATAAATTTCTTCGCGGCCAAAACTTTTTAAATTGTTTGTACCTGGCGCATATAAACCCCTTTTGTAGCTAAAAGGTCAAACAGGGGTTGTTACGCTCGCTAAACCGTCGGAATAAAACAGCCTTAAAACAAATGATCGAACGGAATTTTTAAACGTAAATTAGTTTTTGTAAAAGTCTGTTCACCGTTCAGTTTTATCCGATTTACAAACGCAGGAAAAATCTAAAAAAAAAAAAGACGTAGGAGGCTATCCTGAGTCCGCGTTTTACTAGTCCGCGTCTTACAAGTCGACGTTTTACAAGTCCAGTCCAGTCCAGTCCAGTCCAGTCCAGTCCAGTCCAGTCCAGTCCAGTCCGCGAAAGGATCATCGTCTGGGTGGTTAAGTTCAATATGTTAAAACAGTGTCCTTGCTATTTTCCTCCCGGTGAGGGTAAAAGGAGGAATGAGTTTGCGAAATGGCATGTGGCATGGCTCTGCGGAATGACATAATTATGCGGAATGTAATATACGCAGAATTTATGGCCGAATTTATACTATAGACGAATTATCCATCTAGACTGATTACCCGTCTCAGACGGATAATTCATCTCTAATATAAATTCGGTGCTAAGACAAATTTATATGAAGACGTGCTAACAGACGGATAATTCGTCTTAGACGAATTATCCGTCTTTAAATTTATATCTAGACGGAACATAGATAGTATTTTGACGAAGTTTCCACATGAGAGGGACTGATTTCTATATTTTCGCAATGTTTCCTGTTTCCCGCGGTCGTTATATCTGGACAAATTATGGAGCAAAATTCTTCTTTGGATTTATACTTAGACGAATTAACCGTCTGACAGATAATCGGTCTGGACGGATTACTCGTCTCTAGTATAAATTCGGCCAATTACCCAAAGAAATAAATTAAACTGAAACAAATTGCGCCCTTTTTTGGCGCGAATAAATTTGCAAACGCAACCGTTGTTTCAATGTTGCGTGCTCGACATACGATGACAATCAAAAAGCCACGAAGGCTCATTGGCGATTGGCCTTTTCCGCACAGCCACAGTGATTCTTCTTGCCTTTATTAGTCGGGCTGCATGACATCACCGATACTACATCTAAAGATGTTTGCAAGATTAGCTTAACAGTTCCCTTTTACCTATATTTGTATTTAAAACCAGGTGAGAAATGTTTCTTTTTCAGACGGTGGGTTACGTAAGTTTCCGGCACGCGAAGCTAACAGCTTGCAGAGAAGGGCGAGTTCGAATCCTGGAAATTGAGTGCTGTCTTCGTTTGTTTGTTTTTTTTTTCCGTTTCTACCGTTTTGGCATTTTTCACGATCAAATGCACACGCACTCAGACAAGGAAGGTGCGAAGAGACGCGAAAGACCGAAAGGAGACAGCGAGCAGTTCGCTGCACTCGCTTTCTGGATTACGGATTAATGTTTTACTTGGGGCTTTCATTTATAAATTAGTCTCAGACATGATCTGATTCGTCCATCGTATTTATAATAATCATTAGAATTGTAGCTAGCCCGACTTCGCATTCAACAAGCGTTCTTTTCCCTCTAGCGTTTTGACATTTGACTATATTAGAATGGTGGGTAGAAAGAGAGAAAGTATTGTCGAAAACACCAAAATGAAATATGAATTAAGTATGAATTAAGTATTTCATAGACACGAATGCAGTAAAGCTTACCGCTTCTTTCTGTTCTGCTTTGTTGGTTTGAGCCAGCAGTAATAAATGGACTGAAAAAGCGGTTGCTCACTCAAATTGATCCTCCCCGCCCCGCTCCCCTCCCTCGCCCCCCAAAAAGGCGCTGCAAAGACGCGAGCATACTTTCCTGTTTAATTTATTTCTTTGGGCCATTTTCCATATATTACATACTGTATAATTATGTCATTCCGCATGCCATGCCCGGGGGGAGCACTTGAGTATTTTTTGGGTGGGTACGTGCCGCCCAGGACTCCAAACTGGCACCCCGTTCTAAAAAAAATTTCCCCTAAAATTGATACCCCGTTCTAGAAATGGGCCAATTTTTTATACCCCGTTCAAAAATTCGCCCTAAAACTGATACCCCGTTCTAGAAATGGGCTCGCCCCAAAATACGCCCACCCTGCACGCTAAAACACAGGGTGCAACAAGAGTACAACAGTTTACTTGTTAACCCATTGAACCGTATTTTAAAAGCAATCTGTCCTGGAATAATTTCAAATGGCTGCTTTCAAAACTGGAGCTTTCGTGCGTTCTAAATATTTTACCCCGTTCTAGAAAACGCCTCTGAAATGGATACCCCGTTCTAAATCAGGAGCTTCAAAATCACGACCCCGTTGGGCGGCACATACCCGTATAGGTAATGTATGCAAGTACCCCCGCCCCCTTCGGGATGCCATGCCACATTCCGCAACTCATTCCGCCTTTTAACCTCACCGTTTTCCTCCCTCATCGGGAACTTTGTTTAAAGAAATCCAAGTAATTTAACACGTCATTTAGGGATTTTAATCAATGGTGATTCCATAATGATTGGATAGGGTCAATGATGAAGCTATGCATAGCAAAGTGAATTAATTACATTGTTTTTCTTTTAAATAAGCCAGATGGCGAGAAAGCTTGTTCTTGTTACACTTTTGAAAGTGATCATCAATTACTGACGTGGCCGAAAGCAAGGGCGTCTTGTAAATATAACAAGAAAGATCTCGTGGCCATGGAAACAGAGAGAGAGTGGCAGTTTATCACGAATGAGCTCAAGAATCGGACAACAACAAAAAATGAGTGGCACATAGGGTTGTTTTGGAACAGAGCAGTTAGTAACTGGACTTGGGTCAACGGTAAACCGCTGACTATAATGAAATGGCGGGATTCTGAGCCTAGTAGAAACAGTTACTACGCTCTCATTGGTAAAGAATGGCCCAGAGGTTCTTATGGGAAATTTGATGGCATCAGAGGCGACATTAAAAGAGCCTGGATATGCGAGGAAGAAACAGGTGTGATTATCAATTATATTTTTCATTTTCAGAGTCTTGTGGTCTAACTAAGTTCTTTGCAGGTCTACATATAATGTATAATTATTTAATGGTGACGTTGTGCTTGCCTCTTAGGCTGATCGATTGATAGCCCTTTTGGCAGAATGTTGCACTGAGAAAACTTTAAAAAAACAGCAGTGCTTTCCAGATTCCATCACAAAATCTTTATCATGTGACAGAATTCGACATTTTGTCACGTGATTCCAACTGGAAATCACGTGACAAAGTGATTCGGTAGACTCCAGTAGCTCGTAACAGTCATTGGCAATCATTCTACAATACATACCAGTTCTATCACTTATACAGATGTACATATGCGAGAGTCACGTATCCCGAGCGCAAGTTCCGTTCACCAGTTATCGTTAATCGGAATGCGGTCTAACTGACCACCATACGGGATATCTTTTCGTGCAGACACGAGATGCTATCCAATATATAGTGTGAACACCTAAATATCCGATATGTGACTCTCCAATTTACAGATCAGCGCAGCGCAGGCTCGCTCATCAGTACTGAAATCACATCCGGTAGAGTGTAAACATAGCCTAAGACCAACACAAAGGAGGACGATACGAGGTAAAAAAGAAAGCAACTTCAGCCTTTCACATCTTAACATCATCTTCAGACAGAACCAGACGTACAAGAAATAGTAATTTGAAAAGGAAACATACATTTAGAAAATTATATTAGGGTACGATTCCAAATGCCTTGTCTGTAACTTCTAGGCCTACTTCGTGATAAACTACAGGGTATCGAAATAATACTAGATGCGAGAGAATTTCCAAGGACTTTTGTATATACGATCAGGTTAATTCAGCTGCTATCTTTGGCAAGAGCATAACTGGTATCCGGGATCATGGTCTACACGCTGTCTACAGCTTGTATTCCGTCTTCTAGACAAGCTATACTGTCGACTCCCGATAACTCGAACCTTCAAGGGAAATCTAAAAAGGTTCGAGTTTTCGGGAGTTCGAAGCAAGTAACCGGAAATGAGGAAATAAGGAATTAGGCAACAAAGTTTCATTGATATACAGGGGTGGACACTGTAGTTAAACTGGACTGACGACCTAAACTGAAAGGACAAAGAATAAAAAGCTGTTTAGAAGTATTAAATTCTATGTTTTGGACTGCAGTGCACAATTTTCTTCTTTTCGGATCGACTTGTGACACGCTTTAAACATGGTTCGAGTTATCGAGGGTAAAATTACATAGAAATCATCTGAAGGGAAGCAAAAATTACTTCGAGTTAGCGGGAGGTTCGAGTTATCGAGGGTAAAATTACAGTAAATGTATGAACTTAATCCAGGGGAAATCGATTTTGGTTCGAGTTAGCGTGAGGTTCGAGTTATCCGAGTCAGCTTTATTTCTTTTCGCTTTTTTGTTTTTTGGTTTTTAACGCCAGACACCTGTGAAGGGGTTTGTATGCCTCATAATCCAGCTGTAACAACAATAGCAACGCCACTAGTAACAGCCACTACGAAAGAAAGGACAAGTTTCAACATAGCAGATACAACTTATTTTTCTTCAGGTTTGCACGTTTATATGTATCTTTAATCTTCATTGCGGGTTTTCTAAGGTCATATAAGTGTCCATGATTCACAGATACATACTTCAAACCGCCTAGATAAGTAGTCCTGGTCAAAACTCTTGGGACACTAACGCAATAGCTCGTCAAATTGAGGCATCTTCCCTCCCCCCTTCCCCCTCGGTGCAGTGTTGACGTTATGTATTCAAGTTTTAATTCAACATAATCAACACTGCTTGGGGGAGAGGGGGACAGCAGAAATAGCCCCTTATAACAACATCCCCCAAGCTTTTCTAAGAGGTAGAATACGAGTTAATTTAGCAAAGTGCGTCTTTGTGCCTAATTTCCTCAAGTGTCCCAAGACGTTTTGACCAGGGTTGTAGATCTAGATGGCTAGATAAACAACTAATCAAATAAAACAAATAACTAATACAAATTATAAAAATATAATTAGATTTAACATCTGGAAATGAAGGAACAACGTGCCGATGGTCGATGGTGTACGTTGCTCACAGAACTAGAATTCTCATTGACTCAGACGTACAGTAATCATTAGCTGATTTTCTATTCTTGTAGTTCTAGTGGTATACACCTTAGAAACCTGAAAGAAGTACGTAATCAGGCAGTAACTATTCTATTCTTCTCTTGACAGATATTACGACTTTGGCCAGAACGTCGAGTTTAAGTGAGCGAAAAACTGCCAAAAAAGATTCGTCCACAGGTGTCATTGTAGCAGCGTCACTAGGAACAGTGTTATTTGTTGCACTAATTGCACTTGCTGCTTTGATTTTGCTAAAGCGAAGAAGGGGGCATAGTTCGAAAGGTATAAATGCTTTTCCCATAAAACATCATCTGTTGAAAGGTTATGCCGTCCGTATGATATCTCTTTGCCATATTTTCCATCGAAAAATGTCTACCGGTTGTGTTATTGGTCCGTTAACCTTGCTTGAATTTAACCCTCGGACGTAGAAGGGGGCAGGGGGGGGGGGATGGTTGCCACCTTTCCTTCTGATGTTTTTCTGAGTTTTTTGCTAGACAATAAAACATCAGCACCAGACGTTTTCAGCAGCTGTTCGTTTATCCCTCGCGCGAATTATGAGACAAGTTTAGTGGTGGTGAATCTCTGTGGTTACAAGATATGACGTCATAAGTAGCAGGTGGTCAAGCCATTTTTGATTGAAAATAAGGTTTTTTCAACTCCTTTCAACAATAAAAGTAAACCTTGTGACTAAAATGATGCAAAGTGCTCATTTTTGCGTTATTTTTCATGTCAAGCACAAAAAATTACCATTTCTCGCGGTTTTATCCTGATTTCTAATTCTTGGTAAAATCGGAGATTGCGGCTAAGATGGCGACCATTGTTGGTGACGTCACAGGCCTCCAGCAACGCCACCACCCATGAAATATACCTCATCTGTTGAGAAGATCAAAGCCTTTCCACTGAAGGCAAAATCGTTTCGAAATACTAGCTGCAACATATCAAAAATTCCAAGGACGGGTTCCATCAACCCCAACCCCTCTTGTACCACGGAGGGTGTATGAATTTGCGTGTACGTCCGAGGGTTAATTTCCGTGACTTTTTCTTGAACTTGAAAATTGGTATTACCTGGCTGTTTTCTTTGCAGTTGTTAGTTCCAGATTCATAATTAAAGGCCTATACTGAATCTTTTCTCAGCTCTATATTAAATCGCTTTACTTAGGCTTCATTTGCCTTAGAAGACTTTAAAAAAAATCTTTTTTCCGACAAATAGAGATTTACATTGTGAATTTCAATATCGACGTTCCAAATAAGTACGAGTCCGAATGCAAAGCTATGGTTTTCAGTGCACTATTCGACTCCTCACTTTATCGGTGAGATCGTCGAGATCTAGCGCTTATCATGAGTAGCCAGTGTAGCAAGTCTCGCCCGAGTCTAGCTTGGGCAAAGATTTTAAATCTATCGCTCTTCTGGAACATCTGAACAAAACATGACGTTACGGTATAAGCACTGGACGATTTTATGGGGAAATAAGACACTGTGAACAATCTGTGCGCTGTTAATAATGGTCATTCCAGCTGGTTAATGCATTTTTTCTTCTTTCTTTTTAGATTCTGAAAAGCCCAAGAAAAACGCCCTGTAAGTGTTATTAATTAATCGTCCATTGAAATCACGTCATTTTTTTTGACATTCTGTCCCTAAATGTGCCACTTCATTGTAAGAATACCCACTCAGTTAATATGTGATTGTTCAAGTGGCCCATATGTGCGTTCTTTATAATAAAATGGTCTTTTTTTTTCAAATCTTTTGACTCCTTTTGTCAATTCAAAGGAACCAACCAGAGAACTCGTACGAATCCGTCGATCCTGTTGAGGCTGCAAAGCTGCTTGATACCGGCGAAGTTAGTCTCATAAAGACTGAACAAGTAGAATACGATATGGTCAACAAAAAAGAGGACACAAAGGTATACAACAATGGGATTCTCCTTTTAAATACGAATCGTACAAAATCATAAAAGATCATGCGCAGTGAGGGTCTCGTTTCACTGTCTTTCGTAATGTTGGTCAGCAGTATTTGATCAAACAAAAAGATAAGACGAATTATTATGAAGTACGCAGACTTAATTTACTTTTTATCAGGAGGAAAAAAATATTAAAATAAAGGATGCTGGGGTTATTAACAAAATACTAATTACCGTTGTTCGTTTTAAAACTAAATCGGTCTGTATCATACTAGTCTGTTTTTCTTCAATACGGCTTAGATCCCAAGGAAGCTTCAATCGAGAATTTGTTGCTCTTTACGGTCAAAAGTATAGAGTACTAAAGTGTGACGTCATAAAAATGAAATTTCTGAAATTATGGGATTTGTCACGATATTTTGAAAGAACAATGTCCAGGAGGCCTACTTGCCAAAATTGAGCATTTCGGGGCAAATTGTCTCTGAGATCGTAGCCCAGTTATGCTTAGAAAACTCCACACAAACCCTTCTAAATTTTTTTGGCTCGACCCCCCAAAAATTAGAAGGGTTTGTATGAAGTTTTCTGAGTATAACCGGCTAACATCTCAGGAATAATTTGCCTGGAAATGCTCATTTTTGGCAAGTAGGCCTCTTGGACATTGTTCTTTCAGAATATCCTGACAAATCCCATAATTTCTGAAATTTCATTTTTATGACGTCATCACTTTAGTGCTTTATTGTCAACAACTATATCAAGTATGATATGTCTACCTTTTGCTTTAACAAAAGAATCCTGTTTTACAGCCAAAAAATAGAGAGCACGTGGATTTGACTGAACAAGCACCTCCTAAAATGAACCATGAGTACGCTGTGGTTAACAAGAAGAACCGAAAGGTGAGTTATGTTAACTTAACCGTCAACAAAAAGGCTTCATCTTGAAACAATGAACCAGTTTCTTGTTTTACTAAATAAATATTTTCATAAAAACCCTCCCTTAAACTTGCGAGCAATGGAAATATTTGCGCAAATTTCAGCTGCAGTTCGTCGTCATTGATCGCTCGCTTCAGGAGCAAAAGGTAAAAGCAGGTCCCTGATCGAGCCACCTGCAAATGGCGTGCTTATTGCAGCCAGGACATAAAGGCTGTTAGGGTTAAACGTAAAAGACGTACAAGGCTTTGACTCACTCTCTGTGACTTAATGAGTCAAACATGCCACTAAATGTATTTTCTCACTTTTCTTTCTTCCTCTTTTTCGTATAATTCTTTTTCCTATTTATGTTTACAGCAAAAGAAAGGAGATGTTTTATACGCTCAGCTTGATATGCCTGAGTCTGACGAGCCCGGAAACAACATCAAAGTACGCAAACCTGCTCCGTACGCGCCCACGGTATATGCAGATGTGACACCGACAGAAGTGATAAATAAGGCGGAACCAGATTCAAAGCTACCAACATACGAGAACGTGCAGAAAACAACGGTTGGAGTGTAAATAAATGTGAACACTGGAGAATGTCGAGACGTGTTGCGGAATGAACCAAAAAATACTTTTAAAGGAATAAATTTGATATTCTCAATTATAGAACAGGCTCATCTCCAGTTTGTAAGAGAAAGCTTCAGGAACGAGCCCTTAAGTCGAACCGTCCAGTGGTCGAGGAGAAACGCAAAGGACTTTTGTTTTTGTAATTGCTACACTCCAACAATTATTCAACAAATGGGCGCTACAACCCTGGTCAAAACATCTTGGGACACGCACTTTGCCAAATTAACTCGTATTCGACCTCTTAAAAAAGCATAGCATTAAAATGCATGATGTCAACACTGCACCGGCGGGGAGAGGGAAGGGGAAATGCGTCATTTTGATGAGCTATTGCGTTAGTGTCCCAAGAATTTTGACCAGAATAGAAGGTAGAGAGTCATAGAGGAGGGTGTAGCGCTGATTTAGCCTTAAGGACTGTCTTTACCAACAAGTGTCACTAAAATAAATAAATAAATAAAAAGTTGGTTTTTAATTATCAAACGACGCAGGGTAAGGATTTATTCTGTGAGACAAGTTTAGGTAGTTAATTGCTTTCTCAGTGGGGCAAAATACTGTTGCAAGGAAAAACGATTGTTGATGACATTAGCCTGTGTACAGACGTCCCCCCTCCCTCAGAAAAAATCGGGAGAAGAGATTTTTTCTGAGGGAGGGGAGATGTCTGTACACAGGCTATGATGACATAAGATCGTGTGGAATTTACGGTTGCGAAGAGGGCTAGCGAGCTATAGTTTCTTCTTATCACTTCAAAAACTCATTAAGTAATTCATAGGCTCATTAAACTATCAAATGATTGATAATTCATAACGTGTACAGTGTCAAGATTATATCGTAAAAGCTTCCCCTTATGTAGTATGAATTATTTAACGCTGTCATCCGAAAAATATTGGAGAAAGAGAATGAAGAGAAAGCAGAGCCTTGCATTAAAAATAAGACAATTATATTAGTAAAATAAAATTTAAAAGAAATACTGAAATGGATACTGCATTATTTAGTGTCTCAGTTAACTGTGCAGCTGATTCGGTGGGGGAGAAATTCCTTCAGGTAGGAACCTGGGAATGTAGCAATCTCCGTCATGGTAACTTCTTATTTCAACCGTTTGGCTTTTCCGTGTCCGTATCACTAGAGTTAAGAGCTCGAAATAGTTGTTAAAAGGGTGATTCAGTCTTTAAAACATTAAACCCAGTGCATTAACCCTTATTGGCAGACCAGCGAGAGCTTTAACCCCCCCTCCCCCTCCTCACTCTAAAGTTGCAAAAAGCTTCAAAACCGTTCAAGCTATGACCGCCTAAGCCTAAGAGTTATCTGGGAAATTGTAAAAAATCATCGTGACGTGTACGTCAACACAGAGGTTGCCATAACAAGCGTGTTTTGAGAGCCTTATTTTTCAAAATTCAATAATAATAATAATAACAATTTATTTATATAGCGTTTATTCCTTAAGAGTCCACAAGCGTTTCACATTAATAAAAAAATTGGAAATTAACTTAAATAAAATCTCAAAATCTTGGGACCAATCGCTAACATACGTTCATAAAAAGGTTTGTCTTAGTTTTACTCAACAATAAAAAATTTCGGGTGAAGGGAGAAATTTCGAGAATATGCGCGCACATACGCGTTCTCCTCGACGGGAGCTCCATTCAAACTAACCGGCGCCTGCAACGTAGGCTATTTTCGCTTTTCTGCACTGAGCGAGAGCCTGGTGCGGGATAAAGAACCCTGTGCTCCGAGAGCCAATGCCTTCCTGGTTGGAGTTAGAGATGAATACTTGTCGTAACTCAAATCATCTCTGCAGTACATCAGCTCCCTAGTAGACAAACTCCAAACTAAGTTCTCTTAACAATCGCAAAAGCAAATTTCCGTATAGTAAGATATAAGCGTTTAAAATACCGTAAAATACCGCCCATGAACCTCCCCACCCCCTCCTCTCCCTGTTATAGACCCCTTTTGTACACTGTATCAATATGTTTCCTGTTTTGTCATGTTACGGTTACAGATAAAGCTTAAGTTTTCAATGTTCCCTTGGGTTCAAACAAAGTAGGTGTAATTATCACCTTGTTTGGAGAGTTGTTTTCGTTCCACTTGTGAGCCCTCCCAGGTACTGGCACATCTCAATTCCCTTACCCCTCACCCTTACAAAAGCGCTGCCTTACTCGACTGCAAGTAGTCTCACTTGTGCGAGTTTGGGAGAAGTTTTGGAGGCGGTCTCACAGTGATATGGGCTTCCCCATTGCTAAAACCCTAGTGATATGGGCATCCCCTGTAACCCTAACCCTAATCCTAACCCAAATCGATGAGGTAATATGAGAAGGGGATTCTCATATCACTAGGGTTTTGGGAATGGGGATGCCCAAAATGCGGGGATGCCCCCCCATACCACCGTAACACCGGCCTCGCCGAATTGCGCTGGTCGTTCTGTTGCTAAACATTTCCCTAACTCGCTCTAATGTACATGTAACCGCCTTACCAAATCAAATTCTTTGATCGACAATACCAAGTGAGCCGAGATGACCCAATAATATTTTTAAACAACGCTGAGAGTAGTAAAAAGAACAGAAAACGTTCTTGTACGGAAAAAAAATTCTTAGATTCAAGATTAGTAAGTTGAACTGAATTTACTTTTAATGGCTATGGTTATCTTTATTTTACAATGTTAAATCATGTTGAGCCTTGGGAGATATCTCTCTAAACACCTGAAAGAGGACTAACTGGATCTAATAAGAGTATGGAAAGTGTTTTCCGTTTTAAACAACATTTCTGCAGCAGCTTCTATCTGTGACGCTGAGGCTGTCGATCAAAACTGTCGGCTATCGCACTCTTACACGATGTAAGGAGGAAGTGTTGCTGTTTAGATTTCCACTAGGAAAGTGGTCCCTCATTTTAACTGAAATAGAAGGGTGAAATTTGTTGTTAAACGGGTGTTAACAAATGGAAAAACATGTAATAGTAGGCTTTCTCTTAATAGAGTATAGCGCTATGTCTCTTGGGGGTAAGATTGTACTCTCTTTCTCCTCCCAAGGTTTTGTTGGATAACGTCCCCAGGCTCCTCAAAATGCGGTTTCTCTATTCTGTCTTAAGTTTTATGTATCGTTTGACAATGGTTGGGTTACGGTCTGTTATGGTCGACCAAGGAAGTAAAAGATCATGCTGCAAAGCTATTGAGAAGCAAAGAACGCGAAGGGGATACTCTGCGTCTACTCTCATACCCAGGTCTCTCTCTAATGTGACGCTGAAGAAGTGGGAGAACTGGGTATGAGGAGCCTCTTCTAAAAGATAACGTGTCATGTTGGATTGGTTGGTAGAGTTGACTACGTGAGCACACCAAATTCGGCGTAAAAATATAAAAAATTAGGACTGAAAATTTAACGTGTTTCCAGAATTATTAGCCGATTGATTCTCTGTGGTGATAGATTCCTGTTTTTACTTACTGTTTCTGTGCAGGAATGGTGTCCGGGCAATTTCATCTTGATAAGTTGTTTGATTGAGGCTGGTGAACTGTCCATAGCCAAAGCTTTTGCTCATTCTTGTTTGACAGTTTCTTGGGGGCGGGGACTGCTCGGGTCTCCTTTGATGAACGGGAGGGAGGGACATACTGGTGGTCGTGTGTCTGTCCTCTGGTATCCATACCATGTATGTCTGAAGCTAGAGAGAGAAATGTACTCCATTTAGCCTGCGCTGCTGGCGGTCCCGGGGGGTGGGGGGCACTCCCTTATATAAGCCATGTAGGTATGTGCCGCCCCAAAGGCTAGGGTTCTTTCTGAAAACGGGTGTAGATTTTGCCCATTTTGGTCTGGAATCGTGTATGAAGGAACTTCAGTTGTGTATCAATGTGTTCGTCGTTTCAACTCCAAATGAATAAGAAAGAAAGTGTAACATGCGAATTTCAAATAGATTTTAAAAAACCTTTTTTTGCAGCTTTAATCTCAGCAATGATGACATAATTTCTGTTTTACGTAAACATGTAATGTTGCGTTTTGTAGTCACCTCCAGGTCTGAAAATAGGAGGTGGAAATGACATTTTTTGGTCTGAAATAGGGGCAGGATTTGGAGAACCGGGCGGCACACCCTCCCAGGCTGGCGGTTCTGTCTGGCAAGCGCGTAAATGAGCATGCACGTACGAAGATGAAAAGCCCACTCAGGTGGTAAGTATTTATTTTAATAATCCTCTGGCAATACGAAGAGCTAACAAGAGAAATATAACTTTCTACTGCAAAAATTTAGATCAGCTAATTACCAAAGAGAACATATAAATCACTTCTTTCAGTTATTTTAATAGCGGATTTTTCCAGGAGATCAAGGTGCTGAATTAAATGCATTTTATTATTTAAGGTAGCAATGAGAGAGAAAAAAATGAAGAACTTTTTTCACCAGTATTTATTTCTTACCCTGTCACCAGTTTGAAATGGAAAGTATATCGTTGGATGCGGTCGGTTTCTGCTCACGTGACATAGTACATTCCTTCTTGTCATTCTCTTGTCATGTGACTTGCGCTGCTCCTGTGCTTCATTAGACTCACTGCTGAACAAAAAGTTTTGAAAATAATATATTACCGTTGGGCTTAATGTAGGTAGATGGTTGCCTTATTTGGTGGTGGGGTAAAAAAGCTGAAATTGCACAGGAAAACCTCGTCCTGTATTTTCTTTGAAAAGTCCCTCATTGATTTGGTGCTGGTTAGAAGCTGACGCAAGCTCGAGGCATACAGCTATTTCGAGAAAGGTTGTCGGAAAAATGTGCACGCGACAATCCCGGAAGGTAACATGCATAGGATACGATAAATACACTGTTACTGACACTGCAGCTGTCGAACCTACTTCTGTTGTTTTCCTTTAGCACTCGCAAACATAAGTCCATAGCCTCTCGTGACATTCTTTCAAATTTCTTTAAAGAACAGTGAACTAAAAACCACCCACAATGCCTTTCGGAATTGTCGCGTACACTTTTCCCGACAACCTTTCTCGAAGTAGCTCTTTAACTAAGACTGATTTGACAAACGGCAAAGGAAGAAAAAATATCAACCATATCCCGAACATTTGGTTGTTTATTACTAAGTGAACAGTCGCATACACGAATCAATACCCGGAGAGCAACTAAAAAGTTACTTCTGAACCTTGTAAGGAGCTTCGTAATTAAAATTTTACAAATAAACTAATTCAAAACACGCTAGTTACTTTCTTGTACAAATGCTTCGTTGGAATGTATCATAAATTTTTAAGGCCTCCAAAGTTTTTCCAAACTACAAGACAACTGTTGCCGCATCACTGAGAAGTGGTCGACGATTAAATCACTGAAATGCAATAAAAAGAACTATTCGCGAACAATTTTGTGTCCCTGTTCAAATGTCTTAAGACAAAAAAATTTCCTTCGTTCTAAGGTCATCTTTTAGACTGAGTCAAGTGATCATAATAGGAAAGCAGCCTGATCTCTTGACTGAGACTATACACTGTACCGTGCGCTTGTGCTTGGCCGGGGACCGGCGCGCTTCCAAACAACAGTTCTAAAGTACAACATCAGCTGACAACACGGACCCAGTGTTGCTATGGCACAGGAATGGTTTAGAACGTTCTGCAAACTTGGGTAATATTCTTACCAAAATTGGCAAACTTACCCAAAGATGTTTGAGATCGGAGGCTTTCGTAAGGCATTTTCGAAGTAGTTCTTTAAGTTCTGTGGCAGACCGATTGGAATTTGACGCCCTTTGGCCTCCTTGACTGCAAACAATAAAATAGTTCAATGAAGTGAACTGAACCTGAAGGCCTTCAACCGATAACTGGAATGGAGGTAATAAACTACTGTAAAAGCGATTGTCGTACCTGTTGTGGCCCAGTCTTTGTAGCGAGTACCTCTGCTGGTTGGCGACTTGATTTGGTACAAAGTTTCCCGCATTTTTAAAAATTAGGAGCAAAAAAAAAATAACCTCAAGCAAAAGTTTTCTTAAAATGAGACCGGATGTTGACACAAGCACTCTGTTATATAATCGAAAGGCTTCTTTGATGAACTTGCAAGGGTTAGTAAGAAATCGGCGTTACATTTATCGGCCTGACTTACACAATTTGACAAATTTTACAGTCTTTTGCAATACATATAGTCTCGCTCCATATAACCTCGGACTAAATCATTGAGTTTATGGTACTTAGTCTAAGTATTTGTTTAACCGATAAAGACATCTGTGAGGGTCATTGTTTGAAGGATTAACGCTTTCTGAAAAAGAGTAAATTAGCTTCTCTTACGGTCTGTTAACTCTTTTAGTAGACTTCAGCAAAATAGGATTTCAGCATGGGCTTAGCTAAACGTAATTAGATATTTTACAAAATGACGGCTTTTGTCGGCTTCATTGCTAACAAGTCGATTGTCGAAATATTTTGATATACGCGGTACTCAGTTCGTAGCTGAATTTTTTGAGTCGTTAATGAAGTAGCAAACAACTTGTCTACAAGGTGATAATGAATGTTGTGAGGTTGTTTGCGCTGTACTTTGTGTTTTTAACAGTTCTTTGAGAAACGCGCAGTTTATTAGCATACAGATTAAAGTGTTCTGGTTACACAAACACTCTTAACGGTTTCAGCAGTTTGGCAATTATGAGTCACGGTTAGTAGAAACAAGAAAACACGCGCGATGGAAAATGTTTTGCCGTGATTTATTGCTTTAACTTTGACGATTTACACTTTCTTTTCGTTTCCGGCCTTGGGTATACATTAGAAGTGAACAATCCGACACCCCACTTTGACGGGATATGGTTAACATAATTGCAATCCGCATTAAGCTTCTAACCAATCAAATAAAGAACCGTATACTACCACCTAAACCAAAAAAAATCTTTTCCGACCAAGAAGTAATACTTTACCAACAGCGAATGCGATCGTCATAACCCAACAAAAAGTTCAATAAAAACTAAGAGGTATTAACTAAGGTTTGTAAATCCTTTTGATAGTTTCTTTAAGTTTTTGTTAGCGAGAAATTTTACTGAGAGACCTCTTTCCAAACTTTTTGTTTAATATGGTTCTTTCCTGTTCAGTTAGTCCATATTCTCAAACAAATGTAAGCTTGTATATCAAGCCGGATTTTAAGGTCGAAAACGCCCCAAGAGAAATTTGCAGCCATTGGAGTGGAAAAGGGCCAGTCAAAAGGCAGGTTTTTTGTGCCCGATAAGCTCGAAAGTCTTAGTCAATATCGAAGGAAAAAGAAAGGAGAAAAAATATAAAAAAAGTAAAAAAAGAGGAGAAGAGAAGAGAAGAAAAAGCAAAGGTTGCGCTCTTGGTTGTTATATTGGCTACATTAGGGAGTATGCACTTGGTGGTCACATTTAAAAAAAATACAGCTGGATATATTTGCTCCATTTCGTCATGTTAGGCGTCGTTTTAAAATGCAAACTTAGCAGTAAGTAAAGGCTGTGAAAAGAAGTGGATTGCTTCGGAACTAGCGAAGACAAGTACATACAGGGAGTCCGCCACGGTGCCCACTTCACTGCTCGAGTACAAGTTCTTGGCCTTATTCAGGGGCGGATCTAGGGGGAGGGTGCAGGGGGTGCGCACCCCCCGAGATGACCTGCGGTTTTCTAATACAACTGGTATTCTGCAAAAAAAAAAAAAACTATGTGATTTATTGGTGTTGAAGTAGAGCAAGAGACGAGTGCACCCCCTCCTAAAAAAAATCCTGGATCCGCCCCTGTTATTGTACTTGGGCACCGGCATCGTGCCCGAATTTTGTATTGGATACTTGTAAAAACGGTGTGTTCACATTACAGTGAGCAAGGAGCACCCTACGCAGACACCGCTCCCGGGCACCAAGTGTGGACACAGCCATAGTTGTCTATGCAAATTCCTTTCTAAACTCGCACTTCACTTAAGGAGACCTCGCTCTAATTAAGGTATAGACCTGTTTGTCAAGGAGTTTTAGGATGACATAACGTACGCTTCGTTTCAAAAACCTCCTTAAACAGCTTCGGTAAAACTCAAAAAGGCGATTACTATTTATCCCTAAAAACGGTCAACAACTTTCTCAAGTGTTCCTTACTGAGGTGGAGTCAAGGATGGTCTATGTAAGCCCTGTAAGTAGCCTGAAAATGTGGCCGCTATACTCGACATCTTTTGATCCTTGTAAGAGTGGATCGCATTGTATAGCATGGGAGTATGTGGTGTGTGGGTAATAACACTATACCGTGCAGAGTCGTTCAATAAAAATTGTTTTAAACAGAATTTCAGGTGATACGTTAGTGACGTATATTTTCTGCAACAAACTTCCACGGTTCTATACAACGAATCTTTAGCTCTTTCATAAATTTCACCATGCAATTTCCACGTTAGTTCGACTTGTAAGCTGTTTGGTTTCTTAAAGTTTCGCCCTAGTCTGTTTGGCTTTTGGCAATGATTATCTTTGATGTTAGGCACGATTCATTTGATCATGTTGAGTTTTCTGCAGAGAACTGTTAGAATCACTTCTAGAAATTAAAAGCTTTCAATCGTGATTAATCTGTTGTCCAGTTTCATCTCTAAGCACCCACAATCAAAGATTAATAGCAATGTTTTGAAATAAGGACAAGCACAGTAACTGTCAAAAAAAGAAAATTATGTCTCAGTTTCATTTTATCCAGATAGGTTTGTTGGTTTTTGCTTTTGTGAATGTCACATGTGCATGCACAAGTTTTTTGGGGGAGATTGAGGTAAGACGTGATGACGTAAAGGCACTCAATAACTTCAAGTTTAAACTGAGTTACATATTTTGTATTTGATTGAATCATACAAAAACATCAAGAACAGGAGTGTCAAACTCTAAATATTTTACACGACGTTTCTCTAAACTAAGCGGTTTATTGTTTCCTCCTCGTTGTCTTTGGTTTCTTGTTCAGTCATTGAAAATGGATTGGTTGAAGTCTGTGTGGCCACACCCAGTAACCCTGAAAAAGATAAAGCAACTAGAACTAATTCTCTTTCACTGTCTCAATACCATTATACACACAAAAGACGATTTACAGGGTCATGGAATAAGAATATAAAGAGGATAAGACTGCGACCGAAAATGGTGCTCATGAACGTATGCAGTTATGACAAGTTCTCATAAAAACGAAACAACTAGCCCTGCTAGCTATGTTGAGTTCTGCCTTCTGAGATCGTATTTTGATGTATTGCAAAGTTAACGTTTTTTTTAGGTAGAATCAGTCTTGCTTCTCTGGTTATAATTTAATGTTAGCGCAGAGAAGCACGTCTGTTATATCAGAATATAAGAGGGCCATTGAACAAAAGTACAGTTACTGTCGTCGTGGAAATCATTCTTGGTCAGATATTGAGTGGTGGTGTAGGCATTGCTCAAGTCTACCTCATTTGCTAATCATTTTCACTATCACCACTTCCCAGTACTTCGAACAATTCAAAGACCAAAAAGAAATCTAAAATCGCAGGCTCATATCATGACGTCATATCAAGAAGAGATGCTCACCCTGTTAGGGAAATTAAAAGCGTTTGTCATACTCTGGGGATGGGGGTTGTTTTTCCGCAGCGGGGACGTGGGAAGGGTCCCTTGTTTTGGGTCATTGCTCTTTCTGAAATTTGCCCTGTACGTTGATGTTCCAAAGGGGTCCTTTGATGGATATTCATATGGAAGAGGTCTGAAAGAAATGCATTCCGAAAAATAAATCATTAGTTTTGTGCAAGGTCGCCTGTAAAGGTTTACCATATACAAGGATATTGTTACCGCTCATGGCCACGCAGATAAATCCGGGGACCTCAGCACTGGTTATTAAAACTAGGGATAGCCGCATATTTTATAAGATAACTAAGCAGACAACCTTATAAAGGGGGAAAAAAGCGTTAGCTCTAAGCAAAATAATCAAAAAGGGCGAATTTTAGCGATAAACAGCAGGCATGTTTTACTTTAGCCTCCCAAGGCGTTCAAAAGTGGAGAGTGGCTGTTTTTTTCTTGCTCACATTTCTCTGCGACGTCCCCTCTGAACGCCTGGAACAGGCTAGTTCTATTTCCGGTTAACGCGATTTTACTACGGGGTATTAGAAATTGTATTAACTGAACTGGGGAGAGTGGGCACAAGCAGTAAGCGCAACCATTTGTGGGATCTTTGGGTGGAAAAGCGTTTGCTATAATTGGTAGTTGGTATCTAGGCAACCATTAACTAGATAACAACAAACGCTTATTCAACAAAACGATCCCACAAATCTCTGCCCCGGAACCTTGTACCCATTCTTCCCCTAGTTTTGGAGTGGTGAATTTCGTTCCCGAGAATTTTACATTTGATACATGTGAAAAAATAATAGAGAGAGTCGCAACATCTGATTACAAGCCGAAGTATTGGTTACCTTCAGGCCCAAGTTGTTGGAAAGGTGGATTACGCTTTCCACTGGATAAATCTTAATCCTAAATATAATACAACTGGCCTTCCTAATACATATTCGTTGTGTTGTGTTTTATCCGATGTATACTACTACATGAGAAATTTCGTCAATTTGATTGGCTTATAGCAGTGGTATTTCAGCTTAATTTGAAATACCTACACGTGAAAGTTTTAAAACCTTTGCGGGTAGTAGTATAAACAAATAATAGCATGATTTGTACGTGATATCTGACATAAATACCACTCGTGATTTTTCAAAATTGTCTCAGATTTACGTATAACAATTTCGAAATATCACTGGTGGTATTTATGCCAAATATCACTACAAATTATGCTATTACGTATACAAATACCGCTATCCAACGTTAAAACAACCGAGGACAGAGCTCTAAGCCCTTCAGAGACTCTTTGAACATTAGTTAATCAAAATCTACCATGTTCTTACACAGTGTAGTGACGAAGTGACTGCTAGGGGTTGGTGTTTTGAAATAGAGCTCAGTGTAGCTCAACATGTGATTTAGCGAGCACAATGTGACTTACTTGGCGCTGGGAGCAGGTGGTCCAAACGATCCTTGAAACTCTGTACTGTATTTACTCTCTGTACTTACTGTACGATGTCGCGAGTAGTTTATTGGAGCTGAAACGCGATAGCAAATAGAGTATATATTTAACTGAAAAGTATTTATATTTTGCAATAGTTTCTCATCATAATCATCGTCATCATCATCATTAATTTGTTTTCTTTTCTAATAGCAGGACGTGCCGACAAGACGTTATCGCAAAAACCCCCAATATAGTTTACCTCCAAAAGAGACCTTGTCGTTATCTTTGGATATTCTCTGACAGAGCAGACTATTAAGCCTACCTAGCGGGCTAGAAAATGAGTCATTGACTGACAATTTATTTGCAATATAATTTGAGATAACCATCGACTTGAAAAACGTGAGAGGGTATTGAAATACTCACGCAGGTTACCAGTTGACCTGTGTTTGAATGATTTCTGTGGAGTCACAGACTGGCGGATGAAGTCCTTTTGGTATGTTGATAGTATGGGAGTCGCTACAAAAGAAAAGTAACCAAAACCTGAGAAAACAACGCCTTAGTATTATGTAACATTACTATTTGATCAAAGTCAACCGTTCAGCGTGTGCTTCATCGATAAAGCGCAACCTCGTTTTTCCCCAACTTAGAGGCGAAACGCCCATAGCGGAAACGAGGTTGTTATCGGCCACTTCGATTGACAATGGGGATTCACTGTAAAGATAATATCCCTAGAGAGAGGAAATGATTTTTCTTTTTCAAATGGCAGAATGCTTTTTTTATGCTCACAAATTTGGCGTTTTAGGTCCCCACATCACGTTTCATTAAACTGTTTAAAGTCAGAAGCTTTAAGATATTGCCGTTCAATAGAGCATTTTCATTTTATATTTGTCAAAATTATTTTGACTTCTGTAGAAAAGACCCAAACACCTTATAGTAATTAAAATGACCAACTTTGCAGGTAACATTATTAACTATCTTTATCTAGCCGGCTGCGAGAGCACACGCTTTGCCATCTTCTTTTGCTTCACAGGTATCTTCTCTCACAAGCTACCCCAGTTACTTCAAAATAGTTCTTGAACGTTATGCGCTAAAGTTTTATTCATTCAAAACCTACTAAACCTAGCCCATTTACAGTAAAAACTGAAAAAACCTTCCGCTAGTTGTACGGTTCAACACCAGGGTTCTATCTAGGGTGTTTGAGGGGTAAAAACTCCCCCTCCCCCCAAATGCCCAGCTTCCCCCTAAAAAATATTGTTATAATTACAGTAGATTAGTAACTATATTGGAAAAATCATCCAGACGCGACGAGGTCAGTGTACACAATGTAACATTTCTCAAAATGCACCAGATTGCATCTCACCGCATAATTATTCATTTCAAAACGGCTAGACTCCCACGTGCTGGAAGGTGTTATTTTCGGTTTGAAAAAAGACTTTTCGGCGTGTCAAGCCATAAAGTTCAGTTCTCTGGCACAATTTCGGATTATCAAGAGATTATTTAAAGTAACATAAACAAAAATATATTTCAAGTATTTAGATGCCGAAGAGTCACATCTGAGTTCCGGCATACGGTGTGTAAGTTAGTTATAGGATTATACATATATATAGTAAGTCAGTTATTTACCTATAGGAGGTAGATATCTCCCGCCTTGAAAAGGCATGTCACATGGTACTGTACACAGCAATCAATCCAAACTGTTTCCAACAATCAACTTCCTTGTTCAAGAGTCCATCTAGTGAATAAAACATTCATGATTAGAGATAAATCAAATTGTAAATTTACTTCTGCAACTAATAAACTGCTGAACATATGTAAAAGCATATGAATCAATAACTTTTTGCTGTGATATTAGACTATAATGTTTTGGTGAAGCATGGAAAGTCCTAGGGGTTCGCACCTAAAAACCTTTCTTAGCAAGCCAGTTTTAAAGAACAAGAAGAGATCCAAAGAAAGTTACTAACGTTGCTCAGTTTTCTCGTGAAAAATACTTTACAAGTTAAGTATACAATATAAGAAGTGTTAACTTGTTTTCGACTTATTTAAGAAGTTGTTATCACTTCAATCCAGTGTGTACAATATCAAGCCTTTGTTTTCAGTGTTAGCGTTATGCTTTGATGTCGCTAATCAAAGAACACCACTACAAAATACGCTGTTAGGGAAAACAGGATCAACAAAAGTCAAACTCTTTTAAAGCAAAACTCGCTCACCTGAATTTCAAATACCGGTATTTTTGAGGCACGTAGCAGGTAGCTTACGTTTATCGTTTCATTGTCGTCGTTTCCACGGTTTCCTTGAACAAACGGCTAATTCCCCTGATAAACGTGTAACTCTGATTGGTTATCTAATGATCTTTTCACTTATCCAACAAAAGATGTGCGACTCTTCTTTTGCAAATAACGAAACTTTACTCAAAAGTAAAATGTTAAAGGGCCTTATTTATAATAAACGTTTCCTTGAATGATCACAAGTTTAAAACCAAACATAACTTGTTTTAATGATTGAGTCTCACTGAGTTAAAAATTAACACGAAACGCAAACTTTTTCACTCTCAAATATTTAAATAAATTTAGTTATGTCTGTCTCAAGACTAAACTAAAAACAAAAAAGCAAAAACTAGGCTTCCTAAATCAAATTCATATGAATCCCTCATTAAGGTTGGAGAATTCAAGATAGAATGTAAGCAAACTCAGAAGATTTCAAAATTCAGAGCGCAGTGGACCCGCGCGCAAACGTCCACTTAACATGTGCATTATTTGGCAATTCCCTTGAGAAAAAGGCAAACAGAGTTAAACAAATATTTACAAGTTTATTGACTTTATTGCTTCTCACCCTGAGGAACAGAAAACAATGTATTTGGCGTGTTGTTTGCACAGTACTCTTCAAAAGCTTGAAATGTGTACTTGCACACAAAAGACGAGATTACGTGTACAAACCAATTAAGTCTCTGTATAAATTACTTTACTGGCGTTAGGATATAATTATTATTCAACAAGTGCAATACACGCTTCATTTACAGACTTCGTATTCAGTGCTGAAATTAATGCACCTCACTGAGTTACAGAGTTTACTTTTGTTGCCGTTTTAGAGTGGGGAGGAGCGTTGCGTGACGACACTTAAAACGGCTGTGAATCGCGGTCCGGTGAAGCAGACTAGCGGTCACGGTTGCTTATCCAGTTTTTCCGCGCTTTCTAACCCGGTCCATATATGATTTGAGCTCTCAACGCATTTCATATTGCTGACTTTGCTTTTTAAAAAATTGCCACCGTTTTAAAAGCAAAGATTCTTGTTTGCTTATTCTTGTGTCACGAACAAAAAATTGAGTCGAGTATTGCTCATCAACAGCAAAAAAAATATTCCTTTTTACATTGTCCTACAACTAAGTTGCACGAGCTCATTAAAAAAGTATGAATATCGTTGTCATCTTTGAAGATGTAATATACCATTGGCTCCGCTGTGACTTGACATGGGTACGTCTGGCAACAAATAAAAAAAGAAAAGAAAAGAAAAGCGTTAGTTCTGAGGTAGTTAAAACATTTATCATATATTGCCTGTACACTGCCATTATTCATATTTCTTTCATGATACCATTTATTAAGCGCTTAATAGAGATATTGCTCTATTTTCATTTTATTTCATTTCTTTCTCCTAATAAGTTGTCTGTTCCCGTATTAAACTTTGGTATGAAAATTTGTAATTTCCGATATCTACAACCAGGGGCAATTATAACATAACTGAGGGTCAAGCATTTCATTACCTTTTTTTCAGTCACCTCAGATAGGAAGTTTATATCCAAGCGTGAGAAAGAACTAGAAGAACTGAAGAACATAAACACACACTACTCACCTTGGATAGGAAGAACATAATCCTGTTGATAAATGGACCGTGTCTTATCTTGGCACACTTGCTTAAGGAGCTCGGAGCTGTTGGATCCTTCTAGGGCATGTGTTTGACGGCCCACTGGAGGTAACTTTTGGTAATGAGACCATACGAAGTAGTCCTAAAAAGAGAGGCGAGTTGGTCAGTTCGTAACTGTGGCTGTAAACGCTGTTTTGACAATTTCTGCTTGCTACGATTAGAGCTGATGAGACGTAGCGCATGAAAATCTGTTTGATTACACGTTAACAGCTGTAGGACTGGAAAAAGCCGCTTTTCATTGCGGAGTCAAGGATCCGTGTTGATGAGACGTAGCGCATGAAAATCTGTTTGATTACAGGTTAACAGCTGTAGGACTGGAAAAAGCTGCTTTTCGGTGCGGAGTCAAGGCTCGGTTGCATAAAACGGTAGGTATTGTCTTGGCCCAGTTGTTCAAAGGCCCCGCTTTTAGCGCTAACCCGGGAGTTAAATCGGGGATTCGGTTTTCTTTTTGTGTGTTTAAAGGCCTTTTCTAGTATAATTGTCTCTATTCTTTTTAGAGCATCGAATCATTAAGACAAAGGAATTAAACTACATTTGCTTTTTAAGCTTTCATATTTGAACTCAGTCAAATGTTGCACTAAACCTGGGTTTTCAACTCTTAAACTCAACTTTGAACAGCACGGTCCTGGATGAAAATCCTTTCGTTTCGAAGCCCCCGTAATATTTTAAAAGATATTTAAAGCAATTTGGCCCACGAGGAAAAAAATGAAAAATCGAAACGGATTGAGTTTTGACTTACTTTTGCTGGATGGTTGAACACTTGTTCCATGTTGTGAGGATGAGGGTTGTTGTTCCGATATCCTGAGGACGTGCCAAAAGGCACCTTTATACGGGGCTTACTCTGATGACTAGGATAATGGGTCTTGTAGGTAGAGTTCACGGCTGGTTTTCCAGGTGGATAAAAGCGGGATGTTCGTACTCTGAAGAGGCACAATACAATGTAATGTTAATGAAACCAAAGCTTAACGGAATGCCCCAGTAGACATTTTTACTCAGTATGGCCTGGATCGTAGCCTTTACACCTTCCCTAACACTAACTTCTCACTCAGGGCAAAATGTCGTGTTAGGAGAGGGGTAGATGCAGGTCCTGGTGAATCTATTGGACAAAATATTTGTCTAGGGGAGGACGGAAAATTTTTTTTATTTTGGAGCAATGTCTTTGAACAAACGATGTTGTGTTTTCAAAGTAAAATGTTCGCCCTTAAAAGAAAAAAAAAGGGGGAAAAAAACTCTGCCTGGCTGTGAAGCAACGTAGCATTGAAAGAGTTGACAGTTTCAGTGATTTCCCCCTGAACGCCTGTGACAAACACCTCCTTGCGCACTTGCGCGCGTATCTTTACACGCAGGATTTTCTCGCGCGTTTTTCTCTTGCCAAAAGGACTGTGTGGACGTGGTACCTTGCGTTTGGAGCAGGTTGTCCAAAGGTTCCCGTATATTCCTTGGTGTAGGTAGTCACAAAAGCAGATGAAACCACCTGAATATCCTGTGAATCTACAGATAGGGGAAAAAATCATAGAAATAAATATAGATAAAAAACACGATTAACTTATTTTCGTAAGGCAGCTTGACGACGGCAAGATAAGCTAGCTTAATTTCCTCCCTTTTCATATTTCTTTTAAGAACCTTTTCTTTCAGTATTAGAAAAAAAAATCATTATTGTGCTACAGACATTTTGGCAGGAAAATAAAGTTGTGCAAATCAACGCAAAATAAATTGTTGCATGTTAATTACAATTCAACAAAGCTCATTTGGTCGAGCTCTTATAAGCAGCTTGTCGGATATAAATTTAAACTATCGCAAAGGAACTGAAATAATAACAACAAGATCCCTAGGGTGTAACAAAGTTATAAACGAGCTGAATGAATTGCTACAAAATAAAAGCAAGATTTAATTCCTGCATAGGTTATCTTAATTTGAACTGCTAGAAAACCCTTGTCGTTTTTTTGTCTCCCTGACCTTACGACCTACTAAACTCCATACGACAGATCCTAAAAACTCTTAATATTAAAAACATAGGGATAAACGAGACATCGCAACTTACTTGTATCCGAAGTTGTGAAACTCCTCATGACGAAAGCTGCGATAACCCTCGCCGATGAATAAAGCAGCACGCTCTGAAACGCGAACGCCGTCTAACGATAGTACTCTTTGTACCCTTCTAAAATTGGTTCTATAGCACGCCAATTGTGTCAAGAGGTGAAAAAACTGTCTTTCACATGGGAAGTAAATATATTTTGGTCAAAGGGAAGCAGCTGAACTCCTGTTGCTAGGTTAGTTTCGTATTCCACTAAACTTTGTTGTCATGCTGTACAGGGCATTTCTATAAGTGGCTGCTAAGTATATTCGTCTTGGCATGCGGTGTATAAACAATACTAACAAAGAAATGGATTACACCATTGTTTTTGTTGTCGGACTAAACAAAACACACCTTGTGGGGTGGTGTACACAATCAATAAAGGAATGAATATATAAGCATCAGTTTAGTTCATTAGTTAACGAGAAAGAAACCAGTCTTACTTTAAAGAATACCTGTCTTCTATCTTAATCTAGTGTTAAATGTCTTCAATAAGCTTGTACTCGTCTTTTAGAAAAAAAAAACACCAAGGGGAAGAGTATTTCTCAGAAGCCCCGTCAACCGACTACTTGTTAATAAATATTTACACGATTAGAGAAAAAAAAAAGAAATGACGAGCAGAAGTAAAGTAAAACAAATGAAATCTTGTGAAAAGGCCGATGCTCGTGTGGTGGTTTTTTTTTCTGTAACAAGTAACTAAGACGCAAGATTTTAGTAAGTACATTATATTGAATTCTCTTTTTTCTTTTTAAATGTAAATAACATAAAAACTGGTTACACTATTGTTTATTACTTTGATTCTTTTATTACATTTAAAGCACACCTTCTAAGAAACGGATGAGTTACCAAGAAAGGTAGCACTTTTCAAATAAATACTAAACTAGGTATTTACACAATCTTTTTACAGCCGAGGTCAAATGAAATGGAATATGAAATAGGGCCACGATGATGTACATAATTTTTTTAAGCTGTAGGACTGCATGATCATTTATCAATGACGGTTAAAGGAGTAATAGCTTTCCACCTCCACCATTTGACAACTTCGGACAGGATGTGACAACTTCTCGTATATTACGGTTCATAATAAAATAATAGTGGAGAACATTACGTACTTATTGTCCATCGGATCGAGAAATTCTTCAAAGATCTATTGCAAAGAATTTCGATACTGTGAAAAAAAAAACTCAATTTGATTTATGGCATTGGATGCCTTGAGCAGCTTTTTTTATGCCGAGAATGACAACGCAAATAGTAATTTTTTTTGCGGAGAGGAAACAGTGTCTTTATGGAATGCAGTAAATTATAGCAGGAAAAACAGCTTTCACGGGGACCCGGTTGCTGTACATTATTGCGCCGGATAAACTACAGAACGCTAGTTGCCGTAGATCCAGGAAATTATGGCGGGAAACAACTGGAACCTGCAAATTCAAGGTTAAACCAGGTGACGGCTTTCTAGTCTTGTGATTGGACGTATCCACATAACAGCCTTGGCTACTGCTTCACAAACAATACGTACTGTATTAAAGCGACCGCGTTAAGAGTTGAGATGTCTGCCAGCACCGTCTGTGAAGAGAAAATTATTAACAACATCATTAAAGTCATCGTTTAAAACTGCCATTTGCTACTTTATTTATTCACTTAGGTTTGCCAAATCTGGCAGGGTCACCGCAACAGCGCATGAGGCCAATTACTGCGGGCCCGTAACAGTCCCTTCCCCATGAGAGATAGACCACCACACCAAGGCCTACGTCCCCTATTCCAGCTTTACGAACAGTGCGTGGGTTCTTTAACGTCCTACAGAATTTATATGAGCAACGGTTGTGAGACAGGGCCTACGGTTTATCGTCCGAGAGGACTAGAAAGTCTAAGTTTGCAGATGTCATAACAAGGCAGCACTTTCGACACAGTTATTTAAAAACCCTGAGTGTTGGTCCGGCCGGGGTTTGAACTCCAACTGAGCTAACAGAACAGTCTATAAGGTCCTGTTTACATGGAGTTGAGTGACCCCAGGTAGGTGAGGTAACCCGCTTAGCTGGGGTAACTCACCTTTCCATATAATCTCTCATTTTAATTTGATCACCTTAACATGATAGGTGGGGTGACCCGCCGCATGTTACCTCACCTATCTGACGTCCCCCACCTCCATGTAAACAGTCCCTAATTTACGACCCAATAGACGTTATTCACGATACCCGCCGTCTCTGCCGGCTCTTTAGGATGGATGGGATAAAAGTGATGTCATGCGGTATTTCAGGGGGAAAGTAAGCGATAAAATCTGCCAATACGAGAAATCGCGGAAAAGTTTTTTTGTTCTCTTAAGAAGATGCGACAATTTCAGTCTTGCAAAATTCATGGACAGTTCGAGTTTCGACAAGTTACGGCTTTTTCCTCGCTATGAGGACATCTAGGCCGTCGCTACTGCATCCATACAAGTAACGATGATCATTTCCACCCATAATTTGTCTTTATCGTCTTTCAGGTAATAAGGTCTCCATTTTCCGATGTCTACCGCACCAAACAAACTCGACAGCGATTTCTTGTATTGACAGATTTTATCACTTGTTTGTCCCTTGAGAAACCACGTGACATTGCTTGTATTCCATTGGTCCTTAAGCGCGTGCAAAAATGGCGGGTATCGTGAATAAGGTGTGATTTGCGTCTCTTTGCGTCCTAGTTTTAGCCTCCAATCCAGTTGTATTTTTGGGCGAGCTAAAGCCGCTGGTTTATGTTCGTACTAAGGTGGCCGCCAGCCATCTTTAATTTCATCAAAACATTCACGCAACGAAGAAACGCATACAATGCGAAGCGTCTACACTAAATATGTTCCGTTTTAAACAAATATTAAGAAAATGACAAGTTAATAACAGCAATAATGACAATAATGATAATGCAGGGCTCAAAACAACAGCCGACGTGTGGACAATATTAATGTCCGGCCAAGATGAGGTCAGATGACCATTTGTCCTGACAAACTTTCAGTTGGCCCGTCATGTTGACCGGTCAAGTGCATGGCTTTAAATAAATACCCGGGAAAATAGATTTATTCACATTAATTCTGTAAATCACAAAAACAGTTAATCATAAAATATTTTAGCCGCTTGCAGTTATAAATTCGTCTAACGGTCTCATTCTGTGGCTTTGTGAATTTGACTGGTCAGGAAAGAGCCTAGTCTGCTACACAGCCGTTTTTAGTGTCGTCACGCAACGCTCCTCCCCACAAACGGAGGAGCGTTGCGTGACGACACTAAAAACGGCTGTGTAGCAGACTAGAAAGAGCCAAGACCGAGTTTAAACTTGTTATGGTGGTCAACATGACCGGCCACTATCCAAAAATTATTTTGAACCCTGTAATGAAAGTAATAACGGTATAAGAAAACTTATTCTTTAGGAGGGAAAATAGAGAGAGTGAATGAGGTCTGGAGTTATCATTCTTTTCCACATTTTTTACTCATGCAAACGAATAAAGCAAAAAGGTATTATTTCAGTATGATTAATAACATACGATAAGACCACAAACCTGGGCTGCCTGTAGGTTAGTTACCTCTAGCAGATTTGTCCGACGGTAAGACAAGATCGCCATCGCCAGAACTGGAAACAAGCAAACAAAACAACGAGAAACGAAATTTAGTGAAATCATTCCATGACTGTCGCAATTTTGCGGTCACCCTGGGAAACCGATAAGATATCAGCAGCGTCGTTAGAGCGAGCCCCGATTACTGTAAATTTTCCACATAAAATGCGGACTGCTTTGTGAAAAACGAAGGTAATGAGAATGCGATCAAATACGACTTAATTAAGCATCAAATGTGAGCACTAATTAGTAACTGAGGACAGTGTTTTTAAACCCTCTGCTGGAGTTGGGATAGCCGGGTCAGAACGCCTGATCATTCGAGCCACGCGAAGGCTAAATCCGTACCTTCTTTTCTCCATTCCGAAAACCTCTGCTTTACAGGACAAGCACGCTGCCAACTGAGCAGTTTAAAAATGCTTTGATATTTTCAAAATTCTCCCGATATTGAAGTCCCATCTCAATAGTGGGGAGCAACGCGAAATGAGGAGCGGAGAATAAAAACAAAAGAGAAGTGACGGAGATTCAGCTCACTGTATGGAGAACAATATGGCGTTTATCTGAGAATACAAACTGCAACACGTAATTGTTTGGAGCGAGTGTAGAGCTGACTGACAGTGGGTCCAATCTTTGGAGTAAAGGTAGTTGCAGAAGGCGGCCGGTTTGAACTCAAGGTGATATGAATGGAAAATCAGAAAGGTTTTTGTTTTTTGAAACGTTCGAATATAACACGAAAGTTTATCAGAGTTGCAGGAATCAGCAACCAAAGACTCAGATTCTCAGGTTATGCAAGAGGCAATGAACACACCTGCTAGTAATTCCATTGAGTCGTAGGCGAATATCCTGTCCCACAGAAGAAGCAGCTGTTGATAAGATCGGTAAGTCAATCACCCAACTGAACAAATCAATCAATCAATCAATCAATCAACTAGTCAATCAACTTTATTCAAAAACTGCTAGTCTTTGCTAGCTAAACAAAACAACCCTCTTTTTAACAACCCCCTAGATCCAATAAAGATTAACGAACAAAGAGGACTATTTTTAAAAGTTGCTCTGATAAAGTCGATGTTATCGCTAGCGATTACAGATTTGTCGTGACCAGATCTAGTTGCTTACGGTACCGAGTTTTTTTTTAACATTCCAGAGTATGATAGAGAATTTCTGTGATACGTAACACGATAGCTTAATTAAAAACCACTGCTTACCTGCTCTGTGTTTAAATAGCCTGCAAAAGCGTAGATTATCCAGTTGAAAGCCAAACGAAGTCTGGAACAAAATCAGGAAATACAAAGTATGCAAGCAGTACAAAAGTAAGGGAAGTAAGTTTGCTTTTTATTATTTTGTAATAGAAACTTCAAAAGAGGTAACGCAAGTTTCCCTCTGCTTTCATAACGTAGCATTTGACATAAATCTTTCTCTCGCTTATCATTTTCCGCAAGAATGGAGGAAACTGGTGCACGCACAACACTACATGCTTTCAACAAGCGTGGTCCGTCACAATTCATGAAAATAATAATAATAATAAGTCAAAGAGGGAGTCTAGGAGCGATGGCCGAGATATGTGAATTTGACTAAAGATAGTTTTAGTGAAGGTTGTAATCAAACAGCTTGGCCGGGTTGCTACTAATGGGGTCAAGTTAACCCAGGTTACAGCGAAATTTGAATTCAGTTATGAAAGCTTGAAAAGAAAAGTCAGTTACATTCCTTTTGTCAACAATTTGATGACTGGATGCTCCAAAAGGAATAGAGAAAATTATCCGAGAAAATGCTTTGAAACGAACAAAAAAGAAACAAAAATATTCGTGCAAGAGAAAATCGTATGAAACAACTTGTGAGAACACCGTTTCTCGGTCCCAGACCTTGTGTGTTTCCTTCCCCGGGTGTTCGTTTTTGTTTGAAGCCGACCAAAAACCGAAATAACGACTGGGCCTACCAAAGGCAGCCCAGTAATAAAGGTTTTTAGGGGCTGTAATGCCTCGTGAAAGTAGAAACTCAGAAGATATCGATAGTTTCTTAGTTTGAATTTTGGTGACGTCATGTGATAACCGAGAATATAAAAGAGGTTGAGCGTCACGGCAGAGATGACCATGTGGCCATTTTATTGCCACATTTTTCCCCTTTTTTTTTGTAAATTTGCTCTAACTTCGATGCTTAACCCCTTGATTGTTAGTTCGGCTACTTACGGATGAGCTCCAACTTCCTTGAGGTGATAAAACAACGCAGGCTCGTGAGTTTGAAGATGATTTTCAAATAGCACACAAAGTGATAAAATTCCCTATAAAATGAACGACATGGACTGGGTGAAGACAATATGATTAATAACCCGTGGGACGAACAACACTTAGCATAAAGAACCAAAGAATAACCATTGATTTAATCTGGCATCATCGACTTTCGCTGCATCGTGATACAGGGCAGTAAAAACAAAAAGAAAGAGATAACACTGCCACGTTTGCAACAGTTTCCAAAAATCCCCCACAATAATGATTTGATTTTATTTGTAAACAGATCTTCCTTTAAGTCAAGTTTGCAGAGAGAAGGAGACTGAGAGATAAAACTTCTTGTCCTTGTTGATACTCGTTTTCGGCTCGGGCCAACAGCTCAGTTACCTTGGAGTTACAGATCATGCTGTAGCTCTTTACCCTCCAAAACCCGGCTCACCCCACGGGGTGCAAAGCTTTCCCACAAGCTATCTCCGCCGGTAACAATCGCGAGAGCTGACTAGCAGCCTATAATTACATGCAAGATGATGTGACACGGAAATCACAGTCCCCCGTTGCAAGTCTAAGCAGTGAAAAAGAGAATGTTCACTATGCAGGCCAGGCTATATGCATAAAACTGCTATATAACAGGAACTAATCGATTAGATTACCTGAGGATGTGATGACATGGTATGAAGACGAAAAAAATACCTGCAACAAGTTGAATGAAAAGTTTAAGGTGAATAAATCAAGACAATAAATGTTTCCTTGTCAATTATCAGGAGGTTAAGATTACCGCGTAGTTTTGAATTAACTTTTTACAAGGGTTCAAGAAAAGAAAATGCACCAACAAATGGACTTCTGGTTCGCGATTTACATTAGTTCATGTCAGTTATTAATTTTGCTCTTAAGATTCACTCAGTTTCAGAGGTGTTTAAACGTCCCAGGTTGTTTAATGCGTCATTTTCCGACATCTTTTTTTGGACGACTGCCGGGGGGGGATCTATACTCTCAAGGCACCACGACTCAGTTAACATTTCTTTTAAACTATCGTTGAAACATTTACATTCAAATCAGTATTTTGCAGCAAACTGAAACCGCCGTATTGTTTATCTGTATTTCTTCAATACATGTACTCTTTATCGATGCCCAGATTTCAGCAACAACGGCCACACCCTGCACGAACAGAAGGCGACAGAGGCTGGTCGCATGTGATGTCTACATTCCCATATTACACTGCACTGGCCAAGCACTTACTTTGTGTAAATTTGTCGGAAGAGAAAGTAGAGCTGGGGCGCATCAGCACAAATATAACCAAGCGGAGAAGCTAAAACAAAAAAAAGAAATAAAGGTGATCTGTGAAACAGAACTGTCGTAATGCGTTCATTTGAAGAAAAAGGAGAAAGGAGCAAGAACTTACCGTACAAAGAAAACCCATGAAATGGTATAATACCTGATTCAAAAGAAAAAAAAAACAAAATTTAACCAAACCTGTGCGTTCTTTTATAAAACAATACCTGCAAACCTCAAAAGTCGGAGCCTGGAGAATATGAAATGTGTGGCGGTACGCGTACGTGTGAACGATAAGTAGGTGAGAAACGATTTTTATGGATCTCTAGAGTGAGCGCTACACCCTCTCTCCTCGCATGTGTTCTCCTATGTCGTGGGCCCCCCTACTTCTCATGAACCTGTAACGCAGGCTACATTAACCGTAAATTACTCCGCGCTATTGTCACAATCCCAAAAATCTGAAGTTTGCCAATGACTAGCTACAAACGCGGTTATGAGGAAGCTGTATAGACATTCATCACCAGATTACATTTTTCCGTGAATGTCAACAAACTTCAACCTCACTGATATAACATACCACTAACTTCAACGTCACGTTTGACGTCCGTGGTTTGCGTTAGACGACAAACGAAACACCGGATGGTAAAAAGTGAAATACATAAAGCTGAAATGTCGCAACCAGCTCCCGGCTTTAGCTTTGGATTTTAAATTCTAAAAATGTTTCACAATTCAGTAATTTTATATTGACTTTGCATGTAGCCATTGATTACTTCGCCTTACCATTTGGGGGATAAACTACGGCATAGTCTTGAACACCAAGTTTTCCTACAACGAACGCAAAAAAAGGAAATAAATGAAGTGAGGGCCGCATGCTGACCTGGGTGATTGGTCGGTGATTTATACTGACACCAGACACCAGCCACGTGACTAGCTCTTCACTCCCCAAATGGCTTGTGGCATTACCACAGACTACTAGACTGTTCACATTTCACTGGCACCCTTTTTGTAATAGGTTTCAAATGTAGCGAAGGGGCGGGCGTCGGGGTTTATAGCGGGGGAAGGGAGGCGAGAAAAATTCCCCCAAAACCGTCCACCACCTCCCTAAGTAGGCACTGTAGTCATCTTTAAGCTACACTCGGTCAAGATGGCTAGCGCTCATTCTCGACGATCTTACGAAAAAACAAGGGACTGTGAACAGTCTAACAGACTACATATGAAACCTGATAATGCAGTCACCAGCGGGCCATAGTGGGTTGGCTCTATTACCGTAAAAGCCGTATTAACAGGTTAGGGTCATTTTTCATGGCCGATTTCTTTTCTAGTTTAACCAGTTCACCTCTGATCCGCCCGAGATAACTCTATGGCGAACATCGAGAGTTGTTATGTAAGGGATATTATTATTCATTCCAAATATTTCCCCGATTCTGATTGGCTAAAAGCACACGCATAATTCATCATAACCAGCTACTGATGACCAAATTTGGAAGAATTTTGCGTTTAATGAACCCACGACGTCAAAAGTGCTGCCTTCTTGCAGGTTAATGCACCGTTAACCGATTAGACCTGGGAACGAGGTTGAGTTGTTTTGGTTGTGAAAACAAAAATGGCGGACATTTCACTAGTTCCAAGAGTAACAACTAGGCGAAATAATAGCTAAAAACATGACAAGAACAGCAAGAAGACAACTCGAAGGGCGACATCTGCTATTTGGAGAATATTTGCGGAGTTGAACCCTAAACATGCACTATCGAAGATGAACTTAACATCGATCTGATCGATGGAGGTAAGCATGTTTTAGCCATGTTTTTAAACTGGGAATTATTTTGAATGAATAATAAAACAATTATTGAATTCGGAGGGTGTTATCCGCCTCGGCCTACGGCCTCGACAGATAACACCCTCCTCGATCTCCATAATTCTTCATAAGAACAACCCTAAACATGCACTATCGAAGATGAACTTAACATCGATCTGATCGATGGAGGTAAGCATGTTTTAGCCATGTTTTTAAACTGGGAATCATTTTGAATGAATAATAAAACAATTATTGAATTCGGAGGGTGTTATCCGCCCCGGCCTACGGCCTCGACAGATAACACCCTCCTCGATCTCCATAATTCTTCATAAGATACTCAGCCTCATTCATTAATTGTTAACTAATTCTACTTGGCGTTAAAGTCGTAGTTTCCTTAAGCTCCGAAGTCGGATGTCTGTGAAGATCAGTTGAAATAGAGAGATTTAAAATAACTTGAAACTTGTTAAAGTTTGGTAAAACACCAAAACATCTTACCTCGAATGTAAGACTTTGGAGGCGTTGCGCTGGACTGTTCAAAATGTTGGAGTATGAAAGTATCACGACTGAAAACAAGAAGAGCCTACGAGACAAAGTAGTTGTTAACTGATTATTTGCTATGTCTTAAGTTAAAGGATTTGCTAAGACCGCCCTCGTCTAAGACCTAAGACTTTCTTTCACTTTTTCATTTCTTCTTTCTTTCTTCAACAGGCCTTACCTGGCAAAGGACGTCTTCAAAAACAAAGTAGTCATCATCGTTGGAAGAAGTCAGCTTGATGTCCTGAAATGAGATAGAAAACGAAACAGATCACCAGCTATAGTTTCAATGTCATGTTTTGTTGAAGTACGTTATAAATGCAACGAAACGGTTGTCATAGTAGCCTAAAGGAACAGGCAAGAGCTAAGAAACACTATTCATTCATTCTTTCGGTACGCTGCGTGTGAGAACCATACATAGGAGACTAGTTTTCAGAATCAGATCGACAAGTGTAAACGTGGTGATTACATTCTTCCACTGGTTGAATGTACATATTTACGCGTCACGCAACAAGAGCCTAACGCTGCGTCTACGTTATACCGGATAGGTTTTCATTTCAAAATGAAGTGCTATCCAGTTTTACTTATAATAACAACACCTGCGCACAATGCGCCACAAAATACACTTTATTTGAGTGTCGATATATTTAGCACGAAAGTACTAATTGGGGATATTATTTTTACGTCTTCTACTGGAGACAATACCACATTTTACTGGTGGTCCTCTGACCCACGCGAAAGTCTAGCCGCTTGCAGAGCAAAGGGATTACCTTCATTTCTCAGTTATTCTAAGACCCAAAGTATTGATCCGGCCCCGGGAATCGAGCCCGCGACCTCCCGCTATGCAGTTAAGCGCTCATCCTGCTGCGGTTTATCCAGTGTGACCATCCACTTTTTCTTCCGTAAACGGTCGTTGCCATTTTTAATACTTTACAATAAGTTACAATAAGGCAAATTGTACGTTTTTGAATAGTGAGAACGACGTTGAGACCTGAGTTGAATTGACGTTAAAAGTAATGGAGAGGACTCGGGTCACCTGTTATTGAAGTATTAATTAAGAAAGACAGTTTGCTAGTGAATGTAATGAAAATTTTTGTTAATTTTGCCGGCTCGGTGTTGTAGTGTAGTAGTAAGGGAGAGAGATTAGGATACGAAAGGCCCGGTTTCGACCCTGGGTTGCAATCTTCTTTCTTTTTGATAGAAACACTCTCAATAACAGATCAAAAATTTTCTAAGTGACTTACAAATGGCAGCAACCGTTTACGAAAGGGACAACTGTAGCCTGCGAAAACATCCGTTTCTCCTCGCTCTTCGCCGCTGGGGACATTTCGCGCGGAGGAAAGCCTGCGACTCAGCGACAAGAATTCCATACTGATGACGCAAATCAATGTTTACTTAATAAATCCGGTAGTCATGGGGTTCCAAATATAACCTTGTCCAATTGTGCGTGTCTTCTGGTCGATTTTGGTGAAGTGTTGTGTTCATCTGCCGACGAGCTCCAGCAAAACTCAAATGCTTCTTCTAGAGAAGACTATATTCCAGAAATATTGACTGTTTTGTTAGAGATTCTTCGCGTTTACAATTGACCATTGTGGCCTTTTGTCTTTTGTCTGTCATTCGTAAACAATAGCTAAAACAATGTAACTGCTCCGTCGACCAATCAGCGCTTCTGACCGGATTCCGGAAAGATTTTACATCATCAGTATGGAATTTCTGTCTCTGAATCGCAGACGTTCTTCCGCGCGAAACGTCCCCAGCAACGAAGAGCGAGGAGAAACGGATGTTTTCGCAGGCTCGGACAACTGCCGCGGCGCAGCTTCGTTCCAATACAGAAACCGCACCGATAAACCATTCACATGTGTGAACAGATGCCCTATATCCAATATGGTTTTCGTGCCTGTGCATTAACTGTATCAGCGCACTTTTTTTAAGTGCTGAGTTTTGAGTTGAAGGAAAAACGTAATAAGTGGATGATAACTCCTTTGCTAGAGCGCCTCATAAAATAGGTAAAGGGATGCAAAACAAGAAATTATGTAACCTTTGTAATGAGACTATCCACCAGCATGTCATACTCCACAACATACTGCTTTAGCTGCTGAAAATACAACAGATCCTGCAAAAATATAAAAACACTTGGTGACATGTCTCAAGGGGGAAATTTAGGATACAATAGGTGGATGGGATGGGATGGGATAGGATGGGATGGGATGGAAAGGGATGGGATGGGTAAGATAGGATCGGGTAGGGAAGGCCAAGGTCAGCAGGGTATGATAGCAAAGTGTAGAAAAGAGAAGGATAAAGTAGGAACGAATGGGAAAGGAGAAAGGATAGGATAGGATAGTAGCTTCGGAAAGCGCAAACTTACTTTTTTATCACCCTGCCAATCACATCTCAGACAGTCAGGAGGCGGGTGATAGGCTCTCCAGAGACTTTTTGAACTTGACAGCTTTAGTTTCATGTAAAAGTTAATTATGAACTTGCGTTGCACAAAAACGTTGTCAGTGTTAAACCCCATGAGATGAACAGGCAGCATTTTGTTCCAGAAAGCGTTTAGTGGACGAACTGGACTGAATCCAGTTCCAGTTTTAGTAACTGTTACTGCATGGTATAATATGTGCAGCGTATTTGTTGAAAGACTAAGCAGCGTCTCTTGTATCGAACATGTCTCGCGACGGTGATGTCGAAATTGCACACGACTGTACGAAACACAAGAAAGATCAAGTTTACGGTAAACGGCAAACGTCATATTCAAGTTGACAATTTCTCAAATTTGGAAACGAGAGGGTTAAAAACTTTCCAAAACCATTCTTACTGATGAACCTGGCATAAAACTTCCAAATATTCATGTAGATCCAATCAACACTAAACGTACCCTGCGAACAGAGGCCAGGAAGATCGCAGGGCCTCGGTTACGTTGTACAAATTCACATATGCCGTTTGTTGTAAACGTGACTTCTCATCTCCCCCTTGTCTAAGATACAAACAACGCGTGAAAAAGTATCTACATACCAGGTCATCTACTTCAAGGCCTAAGATGAGCTTCCACACTTCCCCCCTTAGTCCTGCAGGGCAGCCATATTTAGCATACTGTCTTGCAACTAAGGAGCTCCCATGCTGAATCGCTGCGGAAATAGAAAATAGACACGAGGGATTTCTGTCAATTTTGCCCTAGGACGTTGGAAAGAGGTATGCGAAGTTGCAGTCGATACTTTTTCGACGTCGTAATTTTTTTTAACTCTCAAAGTTTGGTTCGTCCCATGAAAAGTTCGAGGTTTTGCCTAGGCCTTAGAAGAACAGTCATGAATGTTCAGAGCTTCAAAACGAGTTTGCCAGTCATGGGCTAACATATACATCGTCGTTCCATTGAAATTAAAATTCAATTCAATTCAATTCGCAGTTCATGTGAGGAGCTAAACGGCTCACGAGGCTCGTTAGCTCAGCCATTTCCGTACATACACAGTAAATTTCCGCAAGACTGTAAACATAGCATCAAACATGTTTGATGTTCTTCTCACGCTTTCGCGAGGAGGATCTTGAAAAATTCGCCGCGCATTTATTATAAGGAAACGGCTGACGAGTTAACTGCTTTGCGAGGCTCATCAGAGGTCGTCACGAGAACGATGTGATATACATCTGTATACATGTACATTGCAGAAGAACTCAGGATAGTTTTTCTGGGTTTCTTAAAATTAATGTTCAAGATTGGTCGCTTTGAATTTGACATCCACTAGTAAGCTTACCTTTACGTCCCAGCTTGCTCCACTCAGATGGAAAAGAATCTGTGTAAAATTGAGTCGAGTTGATGAGTTAAAATTGTCGCTTTAACAAGATTGTAACACATTCCGGCACTGCAAAAATCTTCTAAATAGGCTAGTGCCACAAACGCTTAAAACTGTACGCGTTATCAAACACGCACGCTTGTGGGCGGGATTTTACATGGTTCATATAGACACTCTTTCACTACTAAAAGTTCTTATTGTTTTTAACGACGATTTGAATCTCAAAATGTTTCTCAATTGTCCTCAGATTACATGTTTAATGCTTTCATTTAATATTATACGTATAAACTGTATACCTGACCAAAAAATGCGTTGAATAGAGGGAATTACGAAATACATGTACAGTGTACGTAGCTCCAAGTATACTATTGTTTACCTAAACATTTACTGCATTCCCTATGATAATTTCCACTCATAAACTCATGTTTCGACTGATGGAATACCATTATAATTGGATGAATCCCAGCCTGAGCTATATTCTTGAGAAATTCTCAAGTTTTTCCCACTGTTCGCTTCAAGGCTCGTATAATGAGGTTCTTACGAGACACAGGGTTGAAAATACTATTAAATTCAACTAACCCACAGAGTAGCTCTCAATCAAAGCATCATCCACGCCGCTGTGCGAGTTTCCTGCATCCAGTTCTTTATACGCTACTCTCTATTTGTACGAGTAAGTAGATACATATCAACAACATTCCACATGATTATGATGCATATCATATACGGCTTCACGGCATAACCAGACATTTGTGAAAGTAAAATATACCTGCTGAAGCCAAATCCGTTTTTCAAGTTAAACCTGTGTCTAACCTGCTACCAGGCTGCAGGCTTGGTACCAGAGCAAAAAGCTAACCCAAACAGGTTTAAAACTGGTTTCACTTAAGAAAGGATTTTACTTTCAACATACAGACTTAAAAAAAGGACGACACAGAAAACACGCTTTTATCAGGTGACTTCACAAAGACATCGTACGAAAAAAAAAAGTTTATTTAATTTAAAACTGAGACAGTTGCCTGTTCCATGGGTACAAATAAAAGACTGGCAAAAACATGTTCTTTCTATACCCTTTGCCGTGTTTTGCTGCTCAATTCTCTTTGCGCCCTGCCCAGTATCTGGACGCCTACAACAGGCTAATGAGAATGTCAAACCCTCGTAACATACGTGAGTATTTCACGAATGTTTTTGTATTGTCTTTTACATGTATACTGTAAATCTGCAAGAAGAATGGGGTGCAAAGATCCCTTACAGCTTCACCAACTCACTTTCTGCGGTAGCCCAGGGCTCAAAATAGTTTTCAGACAGTGTGGCCAGACACGATGACCTGGCAAAGAAATTTTTACTTCGTCAAGTCTCTGACCGGTCAAAATTGGAGAAAAATTGAACTAATCCTTGGGTAACTTTCTGTTAGTGAACGTGATTGTATTTTTTTTTTACCAAGAGACAAAATTTACAGATTTACAGGTGCGGATTTGACTGCTTATTCAAGAATAAGAGTCTGCGTGACAGATCAACATGACTGGCGAGTGAAGCTTCTAGCCTGCCAATCTGGCTGGCCATTATTTTGAGCACTGTAGCTCCACCTCCAAAAAGTACTCTCACACTCTGATAACGACAGCGATGCAAACTACATGTAACTATAAACTTTTATACATCCTTACCCATTTTGCCCCTGAATGACAAAAGAAATCGCACTAAAAATAACGAAAAGCGCCCCGGACGTTTAAACACGGAGTGGCTCAATCGTAAAACATGCCTGTTTACCCAAGCAATAATCTTTAGCATCACTCCTGACAGTCTACTATTACCATCAAACAGTCATTATTGCTCCCTTGCATGCAAAAATCAGAAAGTAACTTACCAGTTCTTGGAGTGACTTTGTGTGCAAGTGAACTTTGATTAAACCCCAGCCTTTGATAGAGCTGTAGAGATTTTAAAATCAACCCTTCATGTAGGTCAGAGTGCAAAACAAGGAAAGAGCTTCTATTTAAATGTTCTTAAAGAATAGCCTGAAAGAAAAATCCTTATGATGCTGACAGTTGTGATGAATGACAGCCATCTTCATCAAAACTAAAAACGTCACTGGTGTCAGTAGCCATAAATAGGCTTCTGAAGGCGCTAGTTTTGATAAAGATAGCTGTCAGTCATTGACAGTGTCAGAATCTCTAGGATGTTTCTTTCGGGCCTATGCTTTAAGAACATTTGATTAGATATTTGAACTTACTAGTCTCATGAATTTCCTTAAAAGGAAAGAGCTTACTTGCAGAAGTTACAGACATGGTGAAGAAAGTACCAACGTAACACAGAAAAAAAAGCAAATACAGCATAGAACTCAGCGGCGGCTTTAATAAGAAGATCACACAATTTAACAACAATTTGTCCAAAATGCTAGACACCCATATTATAGGTAACATACCTTACGTGTAAATGTTCACCTGGCTAAACAATTTAATAAAAGGGTAGTACATTTAAACTTGAAAAAAAAAACCTTCCATTATAGTTCCTAGTTTGCCTGGTTCATGCAATTAAATGACTATCCACACAGGTGTCCATATATTCTTCCAAATCAAGACTGTCTATGATATGTAGAGTGTAGATACTAAATTGGAGTGTACCTTGGAGTCTTTCGCAGTGGGGTGAAACCTGGGTTTTCTATAGTGATGAGGGCCTGCAAATGAAAGGTAAAGAAAAATTAATCAATATTCTAACCTGAGTATCAGGCCTTCCTAAGGGGCTAGGGGAGAGGAGATTTTAGATTGGGGAGGGGGGAGGGGGAGAAGCTCTCTACCTTTTTCGCTTCTATCTTTCCCCTTTTCCTCAAGAAATGCCCGATACTCAGGCTACCAATATTCTTTACCATAGCCCATGACCACTCCCCTGCACCCCCCTGATATCCTCAGAATCCCAGGAGGTAGATGAGCTTTAACTACCCTTCTGGCCCTGCCTTTTTTGGAGTTTCTGTTTTACCGTCTGTTTTGTATAAACAGCAGAGAAAAGTTTTAAATTCATCTAGTTTAAAAATATCTTATTTTATTATTGTCAGTGCCATTATGCAAATTATTGTTATAAAAACAATAATAACTTCTCTAAGAGTTATGATTTAGATTGTCTTGGACAACCAAAAAGCATTAAAAAAAATTAAAAAAAAACACTTTCCAGGTCACTATATCCAAAGTCGAAGAAAATTCAAGGACTTTTCAAGGACTTGCCCTGCAATTTAAGGAATTTTCAAGGAAAATGGAATTCAAGGACTTTTCAAGACTGTGTGAACCCTGTTCTTTGTTCGTAAGTGGTTTCAGCAATAATTATATGTACCTCAAAAAAATCTTTTGGAGCATACACTGGCTTGATTTTTTCCATTTCTAAAAAACAAAAAACAAGAAAAAAAAAGACATTATTGTCAACATCATGATCATATTGTAAAGTGTTGTAAAGATAAAATAGAGTACCGAAGTGTGACGTCATAAAAAATGAAATTTGTGAAATTATGGGATTTGTTAACAGGGCTCGAACTTAACTTTTGAACTTAATAGTCAAATGGCTACTACATGCTCGGGCTTTACTAGCCATAAACGTGTTTCTAGTAGTCTAGGCACTTCTGTACAGCATAAGATTAAAAAAAAATGTCAAAAATCCTGTGGTTATCAAACGTTAATAAAAACTGCAATATAAGAAAAATTTAAATGCATCTTGTCTTGTATGTACATCGTTTGTAAGCCATGGAAAGTATTTCAGCCAGGTCCGTACAAATTTTCGTTTTGATGAAGATTTACATGTAGACGTGCTGCCTCCAGAAGAATCATCGCTTGCTCTCTTTAGACCTTTAGTTGTTTTATTTGACAATAGAAATGCCCTAATATCCATGACAATCATGCGTGGACTGTGATTGTAGATTTGCATTTCAAGATGGTGTACATTTGTTTTTTGGCTAGCTTTGCATCATGGGTACGGCCTGGCCCATGCTCCCTGGTCAAACAAAATTTCAAGATGGCAGCGAATAAACGCGAAACTGGAAACCGAATTAACAAATATTATTCTTTCTTTTATTCATGCCAGTTGTTAATGGGGAATGAAATAAGAGGTTACTAGAAGGTGCGGATCAACTGGGAAAATGTTGAAAACATTTCAAGGCTTATGTTGTTTACAGGTGCGAAAATTAACTAGCCAAGATGGCTAGTAAATGAGCTAAATCCACTAGCCAAAAATCAAAATCTACTGGTATTTGGCTAGTAGACCAGCGTCAAGTTCGAGCCCTGTGTTAAGCTATTCTGAAAGAACAACGTCCAAGACGCCTACTCGCCAAAAATTAGCAATTTGGGGCAAATTGTCTCTGAGATATTAGCCCAGTTATGCTCCGATGACTCCATACAAATCCTTCTAAATCTTACCTGGTTCCTAATCTTATGAACCAAGCCAAATTTAGAAGGATTTGTATGGAGTCATCGGAGCATAACTGGGCTAATATCTCAGAGACAATTTGCCCCGAATTGCTAATTCTTGGACGTTGTTCTTTCAGAATAGCTTAACAAATCCCATAATTTCACAAATTTCATTTTTATGACGTCATCACTTCGGTACTCTATTAGCTGCACTTCACATTTTTTCCAAGCTCCATAAAATGTATTCACTCCATAGATATTGTACAGATCTCTTCTATTGAATGTTAATAGTAAGGGTGTAGCACACATAACTATTGTGTGCAGTGATTGCGCTTAAAAGTGGCTAAAAGATTTAAAAATGCACTCAAGTTGATTTTTTTAATAATTATCCTTGATAGTTACGGTAAACATAATAATATTTTCTTTGTATGGATAAGCGGGGTCAAAATGGCTGCCCCTTTTCTCTGAGTCCTGTGAAATCCAGGTGAGCTTTAAAATTTCCTTTTAAGAACAACTGAGACAACACAAAACTTACGTTTTTCATCCAGTTCTCCTCCCAAAGTTTCAAACTTTGAAGACATGTGGGCCTGATCTGAAGATGTTCTCTGAACATCAAAAGAAAGAACCATCTACATGTATAACAGGCATTTACAGTCACAGTAAAAGCAGATCTAGGGGAGGGGCCAAACCCAGGGGCCTCCAACCCAACTTTATTTGCCAAACTTACATGTAAACCCAGTGCAAGGCCAGGAAAGGGGGTTGAGGCCCCGGCTTATGTATTGCACTGTACTATTTAGTAAACCTTTGTTGGACCCAAAATAAGTGACTGTGCTTGTAGTATAAATAATAATAACTTACAATAATACTGAGTTGTCCTGTTTATAAACATGCATAAGTGTTGATACATTGTACATTGTGTAAGTGTTGATTCAGTCATGTTTTGGCAGACGTCCCTTAAGTTGGTGCTTGATTACTTGGGGTTTCACTCATGAGCACAAGTATTTCTCTCTTTCTCAATTACATTGATCATGGGTGTGATATTATGCAAGGATAGTAACAAGATTACACATTTTAAACCTACTTTTCTTGCCAGTGGAAGCGATAACTCAGTACACATACTGTTGATGCTCTTAACTATCCTCTTCTCCCAGTTCATCTAGGAACAAAATGCAGCAAAATCAAGTCAGATCAAACAAGACTTGCACAGTCTGACAAGCTTCATTTCAGATCAAAAAGATTACATTATACATGTACACTTTTGAGAAGAGACAGGCTATTTTCTTGATCGGTGGGTGGGCATCAGTACACAAAAATAATGTTTAGGGGAAAGAGACCTCATGCAGATACATAGTAGGTCTGCATAATTTTTATGTAACCTTTTCACGTCCAAATTCTCTTAATTCTACACTGTACAATTAATGCTTGGGGGATTCTGTGTTGTACTCCATAAAGTATATTAACCCCAATTTTGTTTCCCTCATGGGCTACACATACAGTGTATGATTATTACTGAACCTGTGCCTTGCGTATGAATGCTAATGGTTCCTTCACTTGGCTCTGTAAAGTTTCTGGCATGGATAATACATCTGACAAACTAAAAAGAGATTAAACCTGGAACTTAACTACTAGTATAACAACTGGCTACGGGTAATTCAATTCACTAATTATGGTGCACATGAGAATAGCCGCAAACTAACTGTGTGCTTTGATTTGAGGATTCAGACAGGACATTAATATTTAGACAACATGAAATCAAAACTAAATTAAGTTCTACATGTTCCAGGGGGTACATATTTGTGGTGTTGTACAGAAGTCTGGGTTAAAGAATCAACTCAAACCAATAGACCAGTCTTGGAAGACAAGAGTGAGGATTGGCCTGTATAAGAACATTTGAGATCAGAAAGAGTGGGCTACTTATTAATTAAAGTATGCAAGATAAGACAATAACTTTAAGTTACAGACTGCTAGCTTGAATAGCTGGTGGTATTGTCACGTCAGTGTGTTTTAACCTCATTAATCTTCATGAGTGCTGTGCTCTACTTCCTCCAGGCATTCATCCATCATGGGAAGTGAGGCTGCTCAGTGAAATGCCTATTGCAGTGTCATTAAGGCCCAAGAGAGCTACCAGAAAGCCTGCATATCTGAAGGACTATGTCTAATTAAGGGCCATAACAAACGGTCGTTTCAAAGCTAAATTAAAACTGGACTTGTCATCTATTGATGTGTTTATTGATTTTTCTTTGATTGACATTGATCTATGCTCAGAGACATTGATTGACACTTTGTAGCAAATAGTTTAAGGGCTAGTAATTTCTCTTATTGTTATTATTTTTGGTTTTCAAATTATCGTTAAGCAAAAGGAAGAAGTATGTTATGTGATCAACAAGTTTCTATTAAAACAAAGAAAGGATTGTATTTTACAGGCACATGATTGACATTCTGAAATAACTCCTTGGTTTTGTAATTGTGTAATCATTTGAAAGTTTGTGATCGAGCACACATCAGTACTATCTCTGTCGTACAACATTCACCAGACTGCATCTTCAATATAGACAGATGTAACACTCAGTGATGTCAGGGGCTTGGAAATGAAATTATTACAACCCATCATCACATCTTTGTTATTCCAAGTCACTATACTGAACCTTACCGTTAGTCTGACAGTGTACTACAGTCAACTCTCTCTTAATGGACACCTCTGTAAAACAGACACTTAAAGTTGGTCCCTGCCTTTCTTTACTCCCTTTATTTGACTCACTATAAGACAGACACCTCTTTAAGATGGACACTTAGTGCCGGTCCCAAAGGTGTCCATCTTAGAGAGAGTTGACTGTATATACAGTGTACACATGTACAGGCTTAAAATTTACAACTTTGCTTTCACACAGGAGACCTAATGCAGATTGCTCCAAGAAAATCCACTGTACCAAAAACACATTTGGTTATAATTACCCATCAGTACTATGCAGACTGACGTTCTACTGGCGACAAATATAACACTGTTTTATTGCCAACTAATCTTTGTTGCAGCATTACTGAACTTCATAGGCACCCTGCCAGCAGAGCTTTTCTTTCGCTTGCTCAATTTTGGCGAATTCAAAAAGGACTCACCATGAATTGAGTAAGATCTTTGTTGAGCATGCCCATCATATTTCTAGGATATAGTTTTGAACCCAAGCTTAGTAGCCATGCCCTTGCTACAGTGGGCTCAGTTATGACTATCGGTTTATCAATGAACAGATGCTTACACCCAAAAAAAGCAGTTTAACAAGAGAAAACAAGATTGACTATTGTCCAGATGTTTGCACTGCGGCAACCTCAAAGGCTTTACATGATTCAGGCACAGCCTCCTTGTCTCCTCCTTACTCAAGATGACAAATGGAGGCTCTGCTCGCAGGATGCAATGTAGGTGTCTTTTAGTTGAAAAATATTTTTTTTATAATAGCTTTTAAATTTTTAGCTTAATTGAGGATGTCACTTTGGTGCTGATGAAAACCAAAAATCAATACTGACCTCTTTAACTGAGCATACACAGCATTCTGCACCTTCATCTCCCATCCAGAATCCCTTAAGTAGGTCTGTATACTCTTTTTCATGTCTGTAACATGAATATGAGGCTTTGAAACCTCTCTCTTCAAAAAATGGACAAACATGATGTCAATATAAATGGAAGTTCAACATTCTTTTGGTTTCCCTTACTTTGTCTTTCTACTCATTTTTGTTAGCTATGCCCCTATAAAATTAGAGGTGTGGTTCAAGAGATGCAGCAACATTATATTAATAACTATGCATCTTGTACAGTACACCTCAGAGCTAGAAAAGCATCCAAAACACATGCAAAACGCACACACATTTTTTGCATTAACGCCTTTAAAAGTGCGTTATTAAAAATAGCTTTTGCAGAAGGCGAAATCCCGAGGAGGCACTCTAGTAACTTGCGCGTATATTAAGGAAAGTACTTACAGTTGAAATATACAGTCATACAGTCAATATAGAAAAAATATTGATTTGCTTGAACAGGGGCCGCGAGGGATTGGTAGGTAATGATGACGTTTTCATTGTTTGTGCCCACAAGTATGAAATGGTTAGGATGACGTAAAGACAGACCATCCCCAAGGGACCGCTTAGGTAGATTTTGTGACACTTATTGTGCAGTCATACTTTGACACTTTTTTGCTTTACGTGTTATCAGTGACATTCTGTGGAGCAGTTGTTTCAGTGAAAGTTATGGACCAAAATTTTAACAACACTCGTTAAGCGCAGAAGAAGTTATAAGGTGCGTATAACTGTGTATATATAAACACTTGGAGAGTTTGCCAGACACGAGTTCACAAATCTTTCATTGGAAACCTTGCCAGATACTCTTTCTCTCTCTTTGACCGGAATAAGACTCAGCCCCAAACAAGCAAGACGAGTGAACAACGCTTAGTTTCTCACTAGCAGAACGATGGACAATTACAGAAATTCGCCGACAATCAAACTCTGTGCTGACTTATTCCCTGCTCACAGATGTCCTTCCTCTATAAAGTTTAAAATAAGACTAGAATGTGCGAGTGTGAATTGATCAAACGTCCTTTTACTTTCTAAGGCTTCCTTTCCCGCAAATAAGATGAACTGAATGTAAAAAGTGAAACAGAAGTAGCAAAAAATTCAACTTCTAATTAAATCTTTTTTTATGGTTTATGTATCAGTCAAATAGAAGCTTCAACATGCCCCTCCCCCCCCTCCCCCGGGCATACCCCAGGCATTAAACACCTTTGCTGTCCCGGGGAGGAGGGAATTTGATTATCAGAGTCTTCCAGGGGGTGGGGAATTTGATTCCCATGCTTTAGGGGTTGGGAATTTGAACTGCACCTCGATTACATGTAAACTCTTTGGCGTGGCGAGCTATCATGGGGGACGTGGTGTTAGAGGATTTTCATGGAAAAGATTGTGCCTTTGTGGCCAATTGGTTATGAGGAAAGGGCTTAAACAAGCTTTGTGCCGTATTTGAAGTATTTAAATCTTAAAATTTTTAATATTGGATTCAGGCTTTGAATGTATGAATGTGTTTTATTGTTGTGTTTACAATGAAGTACAATACCTATACCGGCGATTCAATACAACAACATAAAATAAAATAAAATAAAATAAAATAAAACGGTCAACTACTTTGACCTACTGCAGATACGTTAATTAATAAGGTGAGCGATGATGCATGTCAGTGAAATGGTCATGATGCAGTAATCTCAATAGGTGGGATCTTTTTTTATAGAGCGTTTTGTATGTTGCATGACGAAGAAAAGCTGAGCATTCAGTGACCTTGTAGCAGCGATTTCCCCCGCTTTGCACGAGACTTTTGTTCATAGTAAATACGCTAACAGTGTTTCTCAGATTTTGTTATATTTACAAGGATTTTGATCGACAACTGAAGGCGTTTCCATCGTCTTTCTGTCATTTTTGTGCCTGTGAATTGTCCCCGGGGTGGGGGCATTTGATCACCTGAATGGACCCTAGTGTGGGGCATTTGAACGGCATTTTGGCCCAGGTAGGGGGGAATTTGAACAATAATTTTCAAAAACATCAAATGCCCAGGGGGTTGCCCGGGGGGATGTTGACGCTTCAATTTGACCAATACATTAGAATAAACTATTCTTGAAACTCAAGAATGTTTTGATCAAAGCTGTGTAAATTGACCTGAAACTGTGCATGGAACCTTGCGTTTCCTGTATTTATCTTACCTATTGTATGGAATATGTGTGGAAATCTTCCTTATGAATCGGTATATTTCAAAAAGCTACACAACGAGCAAGAATGCTATTGACCGACAATATACAGAGCGGGGGCGGTCATGTTGAAACGCAGACCATGCAGACTGCAGACTGCAGATTGTGCAGACCGTGCAGACTGTGCAGACTGAGTGTTATTTTTTTTTACTTGTACCTTAATTTTCTATTAAAACTTTTTCGCTGTGGCTATATGGCCGGTAACTGGTTAAGGTTTTCAAAACACTAAATGGCTAGCAGTCCTATATTCTCAGTAAATTGCGCAGTCCACTCAATGGCAAAGAACAAATACTGAAAACTCGATATTATTTCTATACATCAACGCAAAGTTAAGATTACCTTGTACAAAAAAGCTTTTTTGTTTCATCATAACATCGACAAGATAATGTTGAAGTGTATTTCAGCTCCAGAAGGGAACTAACGTGTAGAGACTTTTCCTGCCCGTTTTCCACGGAGGCCGCATGAAAGGTCAAGATGTTATGAGGTCAAACGTCGCCTGTCACGCCATGCTTGGGATAGAAAATAGTAATGAACATCCAAAGACTCGAGACCAACAAAAACATAATATAGAAATCCCACAAAACCGGCTGGTTTGATCAGGATTACGACTTACGGTAGTTCAGAAGGGCTGATTTTTTTTTATTTGTGAAACTTACTGAGAATATTGGACTGCCGGCCATTTAGTGTTTTGAAAACCTTGACTGGCAGTCGAGCTGAAAAAAGTTCGAAGTGTCACAAAACACCGTTTCATCTTTAGAGCCCAGCGTAAACCAAACACTAGACTTGAGATCTATAAAGCATTTCAGGATCGCTTGACTTGTCTTAATCAACATATGATAATTTAGATTAGCTAGAGTCTTTCGATTTTGTGAAATTTACGGAATATGGGACTGCTGGTCACCTAGTGTTTTTAAAACATTTTTACTATAGTTTCCCGCAGGAGCAAGCACGATGGAGGAAGGTAAGCTGTTTCTTTCTGTAACTGTATTATACTGCCACGATTTTTTAAATTTTTTTAGTAGAAGAAGCTTTTTCAGGTTAAGTGACTTAAAATAAAACCCTTTTCGGCTTCCTACAACGGCTACGAGAAAGACATTTCCTCAATTTCCTTGATTGATGATCGCTTTGGTTTCACTCTGTAATTCAAACCGGTGACTTGCCGTCATTTCTTCAAATCTTACAGATACCGATGTCATCGTTGTTAGCTCGAAAGATTCGGGTAAGACTTTTGTTTATGTATTTTTTTATTCGATTCTCAAGAGTGTCCTTCTGGGCGGGTTTTCACTTGAGGATCGACATTGTATTTGCTCCATGCATTCACGCCAGCAAGTGGTTGGAAACCGACAATCTTGTTCGACTATCATGGTTCTTGTTTATGCAGCTCCAAAACTAAATAGTTCATTAGTAACAAATGTATTATTTGTACAACTCGAAGGGTGTGGAGGGGGTTTAAATTTTTATTGAATATTATCTGTGAGAAGTTTCAAGTCGCTGCCCTTCTTCTCTTAATTCTGACGCTTACGAAACCGCCAAACATGTGAAAAGCAGAATATTAATTTTTAGGTAGATATACCGTTGATTTATTTACACATTTTAAAGCAAGGCCCATCTCTCAAACGTCTCGGTTTGATATCCCAAGCTAACAACGATGACATCGGTATCTGTAAGATTTGAAGAAATGATGGCAAGTCACCGGTTTGAATTACAGAGTGAAACCAAAGACGATCATCAACAATCAAGGAAATTGAGGAAATGTCTCTCTCTTAGCCGTTGTAGGAAGCCGAAAAGGGTTTTATTTTAAGTCACTTAACCTGAAAAAGCTTCTTCTACAAAAAAAATAAATAATTGTGGCAATATAATACAGTTACAGAAAGAAACAGCTTACCTTCCTCCATCGTGCTCGCTCCTGTGTGAAAGCGGCGCAGCTAAAAGCAAGCGAAACTGCTTTTACATCTGCCGGTAAACATGAGCCGGTGATTTTCTCATTTCCTGCTGATGACCCTTGCAGGGACTTGCAGGTACACATCAGTGCACATATGGTGGTGATGCACAGTGCACATAATGAGAGGAAGCAGGAAACTATAGTAAAAATTTTACTAGAAAATTAAGGTACAAGTAAAAAAATAACACTCAGTCTGCACAGTCTGCAGTCTGCAGTCTGCAGTCTGCATGTTCTGCGTTTCAACAAGTCATGACGGGAGCGGAGGTAGCTGTAGTGTCAACTATTACTAGTTACTTGGTGGCGAGTTGGTTGGCGAGGAGTCGACTTCTTGGTGGCGAGATGGTTTGATGACGAGATGACCGATTACCTGTATATTAAGTGGAATGGTACTACGAATGTAAAGCTACAATCCGCTCTGTCATTTTTGTCCCACCAGCACTTAAATTTCGAAGATACTTGATCTCAATTGTGGATTTCAAACAAACTCTTCTAAATTAACGTTGATGGGAAAAAGGAAAGACTTTGGTCTGTTGCATAACGTTTTCAGTAAGTGTGACAGAGATTTCAGCATTGTTTTCAGACGTACACCTTTACATTCAAAATTTATGTCACCTGCAAATCAGCTCTCATCTCCGAGAAAAGTGAACTTTTCTGGAGCTTTTCAATGATTCTGCATAGGATCGAGTCCTTGGCCTCATCTCTGATCATTTTCTAGGATGACTATCACTGATTATTTTATAAAAGAAAGAAGTGATCAAAAATTGTCCGCCATTTTATCTTGCGGTAGACAGTTTGTGGTGTCATATATAGGGTACGTTCTAAGAAATTGGCGGGCTCAGTCGTTTTTGTCTGCGTGCAGACGTCTCCTATTTCCTTTGTTGCACGCGTGCAATAAAGGAAATAGGAGACGTCTGCACGCAGGCAAAGTCGTTTCAGTACGCAGGGCTCCCCCAATAGTACTCAATCAGGGGCACCCAACGAGAATGTAGTTCAAAACCATTTAAAAATAGCATTGTTAAACGTATTTTAGCATTTAAACGGTAGATATAGGCATATTTTTATCCCCTAAAAATTTTTGATCTGTTCGGATTTACTAGCTGAAAGTCTAGTGATTCGAAAATTATAGGAATCAAAACTGACCTTTCCGAAAATTTCAGCCAGAAAAAAGGCTCCCGAAAATTCTAGGTGATCTTTTTAGGGTAAAAATACGTTAAAAATGGGCAATTAAACCAATTTTTTGGTGTTCGAAAATCCTAGGAGAGGCGTGCAAGCGAGAAATTTTACAACAAATGTTCCGAAAATTCTAGATCTGAAATCGTCTTCCGAACAGATATTTTCCGAAAATTGTCGTTGGGTGCCCCTGCTCAATGATTCAAGAATATTTTGTGTCATTCTCTAACCTGAGATCAGGCCCTATTTTCGTTTCGCTTTGAAAATTACATTCCGGCGGGAATGGCCAAACAAAAAGAGTTCGACTAATAGTCGCGGGTCGCGGTCGCGGGTCCAAAGTCGCGGTCGCGGGTCCAATGTCGCGGTCGCGGGTCCAAAGTCGCGGTTGCGGGTCCAATGTCGCGGCAGGGGAAAATGATTTGGGGTTCGAGGTAACAGCTGAGTGAAAACGACTGATATGAACACAATATAAAGGGAAAAAATCTTTTTTATGCACAATACTCTACGGTAGCCAATTTACAGGTTACGGATGTTAGAGTCAACAAAATAATGTCTCAAGGAAAGACCTAAAAGAAAAAGCTGGCCGACTTTTGTGTTCAGCGCAAGTTTATTTTTTTTTCTTTCTGTCGGGCCCAGTTATGTGTAAATTCAGCTTTGAATATACTTATGCATAACAGTATCTGATAAAAAAAGTTACCATAAGTTACCATTGCTTTCTTGTTGTCGATGAATTGCTCACAAATGCTTAAGGGTTCAATTACTGAAAAATATGCGATGCACTTCATAGACTACAGATTATAAACGTTACAACAACTTAAAGCCTTTTTTTTAAAAAAAGCGAACTCGGGCTCAAAAAGCTACGAGTCTGTCGGTAGAAGAAACGAGAACTCTTATATTTAACAAATGTTTTCGACAAAACTGAAAGAAAATGTAAATAGGCGCATGAAACTTCATTCAAGCGGTATTCAAGGCATGAATTTAATATGGAAACAACTAATAATCCACAGAAAGGAGTCTGTTCCTCGAAGCAAGATTTTCGCTTAATGCTTTTATTTTTACAACTGAGACGGCAACCCAGAGAGTTCAATATAACTTCTTGTTCTCTTCACCTAAATGGCAACCAGGACAACCTGACAATAGGAAGCCATTCAATGTGCGTCTCAGTCAAATCTTGAAAACATGCATCGTAAATAACTAAGTGAGTAAGTAGGTAAGGAAATAATAACGCCCGATATCATGAAGCTGAAAAAGAAAGTAAACCAGACACTGAAAACGGTAAGTTATCAACTCCACCAGAGTTAAGAAAAGACAATAAATTAGGTAAGTAATTCCAGATTCCAGGTACTGGATTCAAGTCTTTGTGAGTAGAACCAAGAGACTATGATCTATTCTCTCTTAGTAGAACTTGGATTCCGGATTTCAATCGTTATTGGGAACAAACTCCTTTCGGTGGACAAGAGAGGATAAAGCTGGAGCTTTATCCCCTCTTGCTGTGGATTAGTACTTGTTTTTTATTAAAGTCATGCCTTGAATACCCGCTTGAATGTATTTTACTGGCACTTCAAGCCCAACGTCTCTCCTCCTCTTTCCAGTTACTTGTGCAAAGAGTTTATTTTGGGAGTTTGCGACTTTTACGCGGGTAATCTTTTAGAGGACGGGTAGCTTGCAAACTAAACTGAACGCAGCGTTGTCGGAACAGCAGCAAGAAGATTTATTCCAAAGAAGAACGTAGTTTCCACTGAGTAAAACTCCACAACAGACGTAACTCGTTAAACTTACGCGGCCTCCGCCAACTTGAATAAAAACTGCCTTCGTCACACTTTACTAAACACGACCAACGTCAAACTCTCTTCTCTTGTGAAAACTAGTTAAAACTTAACTCGGGCTCGCCTACCTTATATACGTTTACAATAAGATTCTAGAACTTTCCAAATAGTCTAATTATAGAAAGATTACAAAATATACCGCTTTTAGAAACTCTTACACAAGATCCTAAAATAAACAAATTATGAACTCTCGAAGCTTCTAGAAAGTCACACTAGTCACGCAATACAATTTTTCGTAACAGCGACCAGGAAGTTTTTCAACAAGCGTTTTCTTTATTTTTGCCGAAAACATTTGTTAAAATTGAAACAGTTCTCGTTTCTTCTACCGACAGACTCGTAGCTTTTCGAGCCCGAGTTAGCCTTTTTTTTAAAAAGGTTTTAAGTTGTTGTAACGTTTATAATTTATAGTCTATGAAGTGTATCGCACATTTTTCAGTGAATGCACCCCTAAGGATTTGTGAGCAATTCATAGACAAGAAGAAAACAATGGTTACTCATGGTAACATTTTTTATCAGATACTGTTATACATAAGTATATTCAAAGCTGAATTTACACTTAACTGGGCCCGACAGAAAGAAAACAAAATAAACTTGCGGTGAACACAAAAGTCGGCCAGCTTTTTCTTTTAGGTCTTTTCTTGAGACATTATATTGTTGACTCTAACATCCGTAACCTGTAAATTGGCTACCGTAGAGTATCGTGCACAAAAAAGATTTTTTCCCTTCATATTGTTTTCATATCAGTCGTTTTCAAATCATTTTCCCCTGCCGCGACATTGGACCCGCGACCGCGACTTTGGACCCGCGACCGCGACATTGGACCCGCGTCCGCGACTTTGGACCCGCGACCGCGACCTTGGACCCGCGACCGCGACATTGGACCCGCGACCCGCGACCCGCGACTATTAGTCAAACTCAAACAAAAAGACAGCCTGATACCAACCTTCTACGAAACGTCTGCCGCCCACTTTTTTTGATTGATTGACATTTGCCGAACCAGCCAATCAGAATTACTTCCGTTGCTTGTTTTTCTAGTATGCAAATTTTTCAGGCGTGGGAAAAATGCAGACGGCTGACTTAAAAAATAGCTTTTATCTGTTAATTTTTTCAGCTAAAAATAAAACAGTCAGCACAATCACATTTAACTTCTTGCGAGATTAAGGGAGATCTCGAAGGTTATTTCTGTTGGCGTAGAAGGTAAAAAGTTTTCGAAAAGACGGCGACGATGTTGTACTAATAAGTTTTATTATTTTAGCTAGGCGCGCTCGAATTTAAAATACTGAAATTTCTATTTTTCTGTTGCCTTAATATTTTCCTCGGCAATTTCCCCCAATTTTCTAAAAACAAACGCAAACAGCCAACGAGCGAGGACACCAGTTTTCCTGGTATATTTTTACAAAACGCGAGGGCAAATAACCAGTCTGTTACCTTAAGCCACCAGCTTTTATAATAATGCCTACACTGAAAATTCCTTGAACAGTGATGCGATATTTTTCGTCTAATACTTCACAGTTGGGGATTTAGGTTTCTTTCGTAGTGAGCCTCCGCTTGCGTACCCCGTTCAGAGAAGTCATTCCCGGCTAAACGTTCAAATGAAACCAGTTTTAAGATGCAGGGGCGGATCAAGGATTTTTTTTAGGAGGGGGTGCACTCGTCTCTTGCTCTACTTCAACACCAATAAACCACAGTTCTTTTTTTTTTTTTTTTTTTTTTTTGGCAGAATACCAGTTGCATTAGAAAACCGCAGGTTATTTCGGGGGGGTGCACCCCCCTGAACCCTCCCCCTAGATCCGCCCCCGAGATGGACAGTATTTTGATTTGGACTCGTTTGTTGGTAAATCAAAAGGCTCCTTGTGAGCGGTCAACAACTTGCAGAGGGATTCAACTCCGCGATACACTCACATTAGTTCCGTAAATAAAGCAAATCCAGAGAATATGAACAACCATATGAATTTTCTGAATTTCCACGGCACATATTAAGGCATATTTTCCTACCAGAAGACCATAAAACACTAAGGGTGCGTTCGATTGGGAAAACTGGATTTAGATTTTAAAATCCGGATTTCGGATTTGCAAACGATCGCGAAATCCGAAAACGGATTTCAACGCTGAGATATCTGATTTTTACATTGGGAAATCCGAAAAAGGATTTGAAAAACTGTCCTTCAGAACAGCGGTCTTGCACGCGCACGCTTAGCAAAAAGAAGATCACTGTTCACGAGAATAGTTTTGCAAATCCTTTTCGAACGGTGAAAAGGAAATCCATGAAATCCGGATTTGGATTTCTTAATTGAAATCCACCCTGAGGACGGATTTCTCGGAGAGGAAATCCGTTTTCGGATTAAATCTAAATCCGGATTTCCCAATCGAACGCACCCTAAAAAAGACAGCAAAATCGATCCTTCTCTCCGCCGACGACGGATCATTCACGAAAACAACCACGCGCATAGGATTTCACATTATGGTTTTACCTCGAGTATGGTTTATACCCGGTTTGGAAGTAAAACAAACGAATGTAAACGTTTTCAATCCAAACTGAATTAACAAGACAGAGAACCAAGTAAAACATATCATTCAAGTTTCACAGCTTATTCTTGTTCACTTCTGAGGTTGGGTCTTAAAATGCATGTGGAAAAGTGGCAATTTTTAGTCTGAAATAGGGTCAGGGTTTCAAGAACCAGTGGCACATCCCCACCAAGAATTGCGAGGAGTACCTCCTGGCGACTATACAGGCACACAACAGATTAAAACACAATTAGCCCTAATCACACTACGTAAATCAGACATATATAAGTCCATGCAGTGCATGACTTTTGGATACTAAAACTCCTTCATTTTCCCAACCTTCAGGGTAAAATAATATTATTGTTCTTGAAATCCCGCTGAAAGTCACCATACAACACTGTACTTGCCTGAGGTCTCCCCCAGGAGATGGTTAAGTGCATAAGCATAATAAATAAAATTGCATCGCTGATGATTGATTCCTGATACAGTGTTATCACCCCATGAGACACAACAGTGAGACATAATTGGACAATTAAAAGTATTTAATAACATATTCTAAAATGAGGCCTTTTAATAGACAACATCATTTTACCAAAACTTCAGTTTTCTGTTTTTCACTGGTAGAACTGGCAAAAGGTAATCTGAGGAACTTCTTAACAACAATGGCCCTAATAACCACACACACACAAAAAAAGTACAGGGGCAATGGCATCCTTAGTATGGCTTGCAGGCCACTTTGTATCTTGTAATTTTTGAAATGGGATTTTTACTGTACTGTAATAATTAAAATACAGTAAAAATGCAATTTGAGTGTACAAATAACAACTGTCAATAGCAATCTTGCTGAAGTATACAAGTATGGACCCATCTGGGATTTACATTGCCCATAGTAATACAACAATAGGGTTTGTGTGATTGGTTCAATTCACCCTAGAATACTTAACTAGAGCAAAGAAATCCATTAACGACCTCAATGCATTGCAAGTAAATATCTTTTTCACTGTTTCCATCATTTGTGAGAGGATCTGGAAGTTCTCCTTTCTGTTCTTCTGAAAGGCTGACCAATGGTGGATCGAACTCTACCTGATAATCCTCGACCTCCACTGAAAGCACACCATCTGGATCTACCCCCAAATGTTCAATCTCAGCCTCACTCAGTGCAGTATGTCCAGAGTGCAAGTTCTCTAACATACCCCTCTCCCACATTTGAAGTGGTGAATGGTTTCGTTCAGTTGATACTGGCCGATTATTCATTTGACTGACAAGCTCCTCTAGAGAATTCTGTATTCTTGGAATGTACATTTCATGTAAGCTGAAAATATGACCATCATTTAGGACATCTAGGTTGCCTTCATCTTCCAGTTGTTGAAAAATACGGGAATAGAATGCTAACACCCCAGAATAGACATCACGATGTGTTCTCTCAACTCGACAGTTATGGACAGATGATCCAGTAATGATGCTGCCTCTGCCTGGTCCGCGGTGCTGTATCATGCAGGCACCAACATGATAATTCTCCATACCGTAGTCACATCGGACGCGAGAGGGTAACCCCCATTTCTGCACCGCATTTTGAAACAAAGAAAGGACTGTTTCTGCTTTGTTATTGTCTCTGCAAGCAGCATACAAAATTAACCTTGTTTTCCCATCAATACAGACGTGTGTTATCAACTTGTACCTTATTAATTTGTGGCCCGAATCTATATGCAATGGGCTGTTAGGGGTTGGTACCTAATATTTTCTACGGTGAATAGTCATTCTCCAGCGCAGGGCAGTTCCAACAGGATCCATACGTCTTAAACAATCACTTACTCTCCATCTTTGAATGCTCCAGCCTCTACTCCTCAGGGCTCCTAGCTATAAATCGTCTCCTACCAATGTTGGGGGTAAGGGGTCCCGTGCCTGAACTGCCAGTTACGCTTCTGTAAATTTCATCCAGTTCGTCATCTGATATTTCTGAATAGGCTGGGGTGTTCACACCGAGTTCTCTTCGTCGCCGCTGAAGGGTTGAAAGACTAACCTGAAGAATGCCAGCAATTGCTTCCCAAGAAAAATAAAGCGATCGTAAGTGTTCGAGTTGGTCTTTAGTTATTTCATAGCGTTTACGACCTCGTCCTGTCTGTGAAAGATCCAGCGGTGCAGAATAAGATATATCCAGTGAGTCATAAAAGTCTACATTGTTGCGGCCTTCTATCCGACTTGAAAGCAAATCAATTATGTGGGTTAAAGAATTCTTCAGGTGCTGCACAGGAACTTGAATCGCATTTGACGGAATACCAGTAGCAGTTGTGAGACCATTCGACATGTCATTCAGCAGAAATGACAACGTGCCCGAAGCATCCACTAATCGACTCCTCGTTTGAATCAGAACATCTGTCTCTAACCCATCAACACTAGCCAACAGATTAAGAACGCTTTTTAGATTCTGTAAGAAAAGCGGGAACCCACGTTCATTTCTCTCTCGTAACATCACTGGGCGTGACCGACGAGTACGAGCCGCCATGTTTGTTTTAGGTGCATTACCGCACAGGCTTATGGGACATTTGCCAAAACTACGAAAAAATAATTATGACTAACAAAAAAATAATTCTCGAATGGAAAAAAATAAATTATCATTATATTATGAGTTGCGTAGGACAAAATCAATTAATTATCCAAAAAAAATTATTATAGCACACAAAAAACTAATCCGCAACCGTAAAATAATTTGTGTAATGGACAAAAATAATTTCAAAGAAGCGTAATAATAAGGACGGCACATAAAAAAATTAATTCCTGGTGAGGAAAAAATAATTGTGACGCATGCAAAAGTTAAAAAGAACACGAAAATAATTACAGGCATAGGAAAAAATAATTACAAACAGACAAAATATTAATAGCAGGTACTCATCAAATTAATTCAGCAAGAGGGAAAAATTAATCATGCAATTTTGACCAGAACGGGCCTTCATATCAGGTTAGTATGTAGTCTGCCGGCGTTCCTTTTAGCCAAACGTTTTTCGGATTCAGACAATCGATCCCGCATATTGTTTGGATTTTCGTGCTAGCTGGAACAAAAATCTAAAACAAAGTTTGAATCATACAGCAGCTGGCTGCTGCACTGATATTCTTTTCAATTCACGCCATCATTGTTAATTTCTGTTCGTTACATATCGGACATTTTACGGCGAGAATCTCTCTATAAGCGGGGCTTTTGCTTCTTTACGGTTCGAAGAGTTCAAATGCAACTTCATGTACAGTCTTTAAGCGGCACAGGAAAAATAACTTTGCCTGAAGTGACCTTGACCCGCCATGTTTTTTTGTTTTTTTGTTTTTTTTAAATAACATTTGTTGGTTACAACACTTCTGATGACAATACTTACATTTACATGGAGGAAAAATAAAAACAACGTGCAAGAGACAAAGGAAAAATACAATGTTACAGCATTTACAACTAATTAAGCCTAAAAAAGTTTACAAAATTGACTACTATTTGCAAAATTGCAAAATAAAACACGATACAACAAAAACATAAGGAGTCTGTCCTACCAACTAAAAGGTGCTTTGCATTTACATTTGCATTTGTTTCTGCATCACTTTTAACTTTTGGAACTTTTGGAATTATTTAATAACAGCAAGTTTATTTGTCCGAGGGGCAAGGTTTAAGAGGGCTCCATTTGTTTTTGAAGGAGGACCTATTGTTATTATTAGAGGCAATCTCTTTTTCAATTTCCATGGAGTTCATAACGGTTTGTATATAAACCGTTAGCGCAGGGTTGCAGTTATTTAACTTGCATGTGTAAATATGTCGTTTGGCGATAAGGAAAAGATGATGTAGTAATAAATCAGATATATTATCAATTATAGTCCAAGACAGGTAAGAGGAGAGAAGGCAATAGATTTGTTTAAGGTGGTGTTTTGAGTTATCCATTGATAAATGTCTTTCCAGAATTTTTGAGTGTAACTGCAATACCAGAACAATTGGGCAAGGGTTTCAGTAAATTCCCCGCAGAAAGAACAGGAGTCTGCTTGTTTTAGGCCGATTTTAAAGAGGAAGTCGTTTGTTGCTATTCGTCTGTAGAGGAACATGAATTGGAACACTCGTAACTTTGTTTCTGTTGTACACAGAAAGGGGAGGCGGTATGTATTCTCCCAGTTCACGTTCGCATTTCCTATTATATTTTCCTAAGACAGCCATTTTCCCTGGCTTTTAAGAGGGGTGGTGGCCTTTTTTCGATAATTGATTTGTAAACGGTTTTACAGGCTTTTTCTGAGGCTAATAATGTTTGCCCAAGGGTCTTGGTTTTGGGTCCTCTGTTGGGTTGTCGAGAACACTTTTGCCTGAACAGTTTAAAGGCTGATACTGCCTTATAGAATTCTAGAAAGTTAGTCTTGATTTTATATTAATTTAGCGGTAAATGCAGTATAGCTTAATATAGAATTTCCGTCCGTATCAAGGATGTCTTTAACATCTTTCACACCTGCGGTGAACCAAGATTTATAGAAAATTGGTTTGTTCTCTATTCTTATGAGGGAGTTGTGCCAGATCTGAGCTGACGTGAATCTAGATTGTTGTCCTTATAATTTAGGGTCGTCCACTGAATATTCCATAATCTCAGCTAAAAATGGATCTCGCAGATTAAGTAAACGAACGTCTTGAGGGCTTAAGTTTCCCCAGAAAACTAATTTCCCTCCAAATTGTGCTAGTCGATGATTCAAAAAAAGCTTCCATTTCCCTGTACCTTGATCATCTAAATAGCTTTTCACCCATTTCATTTTTAAGGCCTGGTTAAAACCTGCAATATCGATCATCTTTAGCCCCCCCTTACTGTAATCGTTGATCATTTCTGTTCTTTTTATTTTTGAGGAAATCCGTTTTCGGATTAAATCTAAATCCGGATTTCCCAATCGAACGCACCCAAAAAAAGACAGCAAAATCGATCCTTCTCTCCGCCGACGACGGATCATTCACGAAAACAACCACGCGAGGAATAAGCGCTTTCAACTTCCAGCGTTTCCGACAGCCAATCAGATCTTGTGGCATTGTTCTAACAGCCAATCAGCGTTACGGCCAAAATCTGGCTGTAACGAGCACAAACGTGAATGAGTTTGGATCAGGCCCAATTTTTATAGCGCTGGCCGTTAGAGAGAATGTATGAGAACCGCTAAAATTGGGCCTGATCTCAGGTTAGTAGTCTGCCGGCGTTCCTTTTAGCCAAACTTTTTTCGGATTCAGACAATCGATCCCGCATATTGTTTGGATTTTCGTGCTAGCTGGAACAAAAATCTAAAACAAAGTTTGAATCATACAGCAGCTGGCTGCTGCACTGATATTCTTTTCAATTCACGCCATCATTGTTAATTTCTGTTCGTTACATATCGGACATTTTGCGGTGAGAATCTCTCTATAAGCGGGCTTTTGCTTCTTCTTCATGTACAGTCTTTAAGCGGCACAGGAAAAATAACTTTTGCCTGAACTGACCTTGACCCGCCATGTTACATGACCGGTGAACAAGCGCATTCTTGCCATCGAAAAGCAGTTTCGTTGAATGGAACAAACATCGCAAACCAGATTGACAATACCAATCTACGGCTTTCTGGTGGTAAGGTAGGTTTTACAATTCATTTGACTTTTTTGACTCAATTAGGAGTGAGTACAATACTGTGTTTACGTTCTCTAAAAAGGTGGTCGGTTTAATGCATGGCTTACTAAAGACGGAGGTTAATAGCTGCCGCTCCTACTGCAATTTCGCTTCTTTTATAGCCTCAGCTTTTTTCTCTACCTGTGGGTGTGTGTTGCACAATCTTCCACCGCGTTTGGAATATCTCCGCGTCAGCTGGTTCATTAAACAATCAGGACTGTATCTTTCACTTTCTTCGCTTCATTGCGTTCGTTCATTCGTACATCACAATCGTTCTAAACATTCTACCCAAAATTACAATGCTCACTAGTTTTATTGCTGCCACAAGTAAATGCTTTGACTACGTATGTCCGGCCGCAAACCGAACTTGGCAAAGGCTCACTATTATTTCTTGCGATCTAACACATGAGCGTGGTACCTATTTCCTTAACATATCCCACATTATCTACCTTAATTATTATTTACCGCGCATAAACCGATTACAATCAAAACCACGAAGGTTGATAAAAACAAACCTAGTCAATTCTATTATTCGTCATAGGATGTGGTTACACGCCTAAGATAATTTTCTACTTGCAAGGCAAAATCAGCTGCTCAACAATTAAGAAAAATAATACTAATAACTTGTTACAACAGTGTGGGCCAAAGGCAATTGTTTAAAAAATGTCAACGGGCCGGCTACGAAGAAAAGTCTGTCTTAAAACTCGGTCAAGACAATTATATTTCCATCAAATGGTGATTATAAAAAATATATTTTTAGTATAAATGTTCTGCTTGTCTGCTCTTTTTGAATGAATTTTAATGCATTTTAGAACATGCGGTTTTGTTTTAAAACTGGCTTAACACCGTTTTAATTAATTCAGTGCTTTTCAGTGCGTTCTAGAACAAGGACGAAACCATCATTACGAAATAATAATGAAACCTCATTCTCATGAATAACTTTTGCAATTCCGCCAGTGTGCATATAATTTGTGAACACGGTTTTGATACTCCTTCATAACTAAGGTTGTTTTTAATATCTGGGCTATGACCTGCCTTTTTGTTGAAATTAAATAGTCGAGTTTTTCTCTCCTACTGCTGCAGTGTCTGTTTAGATGATCAAGTGCTGTGACCCTTTTTACCAAAAAATAGGAAGTGGATAGCGATAGCTGTCCGTCTTAGAGAGATTTCCGCCTTTTAGAGAGTCAACTAAAACTGGAGCTAAAGTAAAGAAAGGCAGGGGAGAACCAGTTTAACTATAGAGAGTTGACCGTCTTAGATGGTTTTCTGTAGTGCTTTAGGTTCTACTCCAGATGCTTCTACTTCAACGCTTCACGGGAATGAATATGTTCGGAGATAGTATTTCAGCCGCCAGTAATTTCCAGTTCGAAATTCGAGTCTTCTATTTTCTTCTATCTAGAATACATGCGTGTGAGTAGCCACTGGTTGTGTTTTCCCTAGGGCGATTAACTAACTGAACATTCATTGTTTCTAGGATTTGTTTACAAACCGACTTTTACTAGTTAAACGTGGCAACTGTTTTCACTGTGCAATTTAACCGGCAATCAAAGCCACTAGCTCCGAGGATTCAAATTGCAAAAAATTTAAAAAATGAAAGGTGACAACGTGCTTGTAATGACTTCTCTTGTGATTATTTTCTCTTTATTTTTGCGAAGAAGAAGGAGTTTTATACAGCAAATGAGGCTTATGTCCTTACAAATGAGGAAGATGGGACGAAATCTTTTAATTCTGTCAATCCAACAACGAAACAACATTCAGTGCCATAACTGGGATAAGCGCAAGAGTATGTGGGTTTATCCAATTTAAGGACCTGGCCGAAGAAATGGAGAATCCAGTGAGATCGGTGGGATTGTAAATCGAAAGAAATGACTGATAGATTATTTGGCAGACGTCTGTCACTACGCGCGACCCAATTCGCTACGGCGTTTATCAGGACAAGTTATACCATCTCGCGAGGTAGTATAACTCTGCGTGAATTTCCGCTCGTAAAGGCGAGAAAATCCCTTGTTTTGGCTTGTGAAAACAGCTTGCATTTTTTAACTAGCTAAAACCAAGACGAGCTGTTTTCACTGTATTTCCGGACTTTTCCGGCTTTACCTAGTTAATATTGTCCTAGTGAAAACAAGAAAACAAGTTTGTCCAAATACGACGAGCATCCTCGACACAAATTGACAAAATTCACCTTAATTAATGACTAGCGTCAATGAATTAAACAAAAAACGTTCTTCTCAGTCGCATCCACAAAATCATTGTTTTTAAAATTACAGTTTCTCGATCAGAGCTCTGAGGATGGGTATGTATGTAGCTACCTGATCTTTGCTGGCGTTAACTACTTTGGAAAAAAGGTGTACCTTTCCCTTTAGATCATCGAGTGGGCATCCCGTGTAAAGAGACAATATTCCTGTTGTGTGGAAATCTTGAACATCAATGAAATAATGATTTATCGCTGGAAGTGGGTTTCTAGATGGAGACGTCGTTGGAGGACGGGGCACAAAGCACTCACTGTGATTGTCGTAAGCAGCAGCAAGAACACTGAGGCTGCTAGTCGCCATGTCACCAAATGCTGCAACTGAGCGAAGATTGTACGTTGTAACTCTGTTGTTTATCAGAAGGTGTATCTTTGGTCGCCGGACGTCGTATTCTTGGGCTTTGTGACTAAACATTCTCTTCTTACAATGTTGGAATTGGGTTGGTATGTTGTGCAAGTCGATTCCGTACACTAAATCAAGCATGGCTACGATGGCTTCTCTTGAAAAATCATCTGCGTTAATTGGAATAATTAACCTCTCTGCTGCAAGGAGAGCCATTTCCGTATAGATAGAAAACGATGGGTTGGTGTCGATGAAAACTACCCAATCTTCCTCATTTTGTGTTATCCCTTGCATATTTTCATAACCTTCCAAGAAATATCGTACGCAAGACGTGATAAAGACCCAAGGAATGTGACCTAGTGCATCATCTTCCCTTCTCTTGTGATCCATATTCCGGCCGATTAATTCAAGTTGCATGTCGCCACATAGCAGTTCAATATTCGGTGGCATTCGGCTGTTGAAACTGCTTACATTGGTCAGGAAAGCCCGTGGATCTATGGTTGTCTGTGGAGTGCTAAACTTTTGGAGGTATAAAGCTGATAGTTTTCTCTTGTATAAAACATTCAGTCAGACTACTGCTTGTTCCTCTAAGTTTCTTGTCTTGAGGCGTCAGCAAAGACATTGACACGTTTGCCTGTGGACAAAGATCTAGAACTAAAACTTTCCGGTTGGGAAAGTGTTTTGCGTACTGTGTGGCCATGTGGAAAGTTAGTGTCGTCTTTCCAACACCTCCTTTGTTATTCCAAATCACGTAAGAGTTTAGAAGTGGCATCTCTACCTCTTCGAAAGTCGCACTTCAAGTAAAGTAGGACTGAAATCACCTAACAAACACGCACACACTTCTAGCCAGCGTCGCAGACACTCTAAACCTCGTGTTCGCATCCCGCGTCACAAGGACATATCTAGGCGTCTTTAATTGGCTAAGTTCCTACGCATTTTGTGATTAGTCCAATTTAAAATAAGTGTTGACAGGCCAAACGTGACTCATAGCTCGTTCTTGATAGTGTGAAACGTGACCCTAGAGCCCTGGAGGGTACCCCCTTATTGGTCATTTCGGAGTTGCGTAGGAAACCAGTTCGGGAGTATGCCAGTTTTGGAAGAAGCGATGACGTCATGATCCATTGTTCTGCTAAAAACACGCAAAAATAGGAAAAAATAATCGCAAGAAACAAGGGAGCTTTTTTCAAAGCCTGTTGCAGGTCTCCTCGTTCAAAGACAATGAAGACACATTTCTCCACATTTCCACACTTCCGGTGTTAACAGATAAAGACAGTGGAGGATCATTTCCACATTCCCACACTTCCAGATCAGGATGTCCGTCCAAAATGTACACAAACATCTGGAGATATTACAAACATGTTGTCGCGTTTGTGCCAAAAAGCTGGGAAAAGGAACCAGGAAGACAAAATGCTAAATATCTTCAGAACGACATATTTGTGCTCTGAGGGCAAAATATTGCTTTAGGTTCACCTTATGTTCCACTGTAATGAAAAATTTAATGTCCAAATTCAACCCTACCTCAATAAAATTAATCATGTTTTTTTTTGTTTCTTTGTAGTGTGGTCACAGGCTTACCCACCACAAAAGCCCCTCCTTTGACCCTTTCAAAAATGGGTAAGAGGGAAACAGGTTGGACGGGGGGCTTATATACCTTGTGAGTGGAAGCTCACACTCAATGACCATTCAACCATAGAAGAGACTGTGGCGTTTATTCAAGGGGCTTTAAAGGAGATAGATGAGAAAGGAGTCATGGAAGTGGAGGCTTGTGAAGATTTTCTCTACATAATGTTCAATCCCTCGCGTCAAATATTGTTTATACTTTACAGATGCCAAATACATAATATGTTCAGTTCCTGTGCTGTGCAAAAGGTCAATCTGAAACATGAAAAATGCCACACTCTCCCCCATCAATCCCTGTGCATGAGCAATAAGCCCACATTTGATTTCATAATGTCGAATATGTGTGTATTTAAAGAAATCCTAAATTATTGAGATTGTCTTGATGAAAAAGCATCTATGTTAATGCATCGTCTTCAACAAATCAGGGCTCGAAATAATTTTCGGATAGTCTCCGGTCACGATGACCGGCCAAATTCATTTTTGCTCGGTCACGTATCGTTTCTGGCCGGTCAAATGTATATGATGAATTACTCTTTTAGGGGCCCATAAACCCAAAATGTTACGAATTTATTTCCCAAGAGTTCACGGTTGTACAACTTTTCATGTTTACATTACGCACGCGGCCGATTAACACATCGATAAACTTGCGAAGAGTGAAATAATTATTGTAACGTTGCTATGAATTATAGTCCCTTTGCAGTACACTGCTTTTGATAATATTTATTCTGCTTAAGGAATTAATTTATACGCAGGGACAAATGTACAACTTGAAAATTACTAATAAAAGTGGAAATATTTGGTAATTTTGTGACCGGAAGTGGGCGAATCCCGATGTCTGTTTCGATGCGCGAATTGTAAACAACGGCTCTAGTTGCAGGTCACCAGAATTTCATATCAAAGTTCCGCAATACACAGCGACTCGATAAATAACAACTGAAACAACTGAACAGCAGGAACCCTAAATTTATCTCATTTTCAATACGATTGAATTTTGACCGGTCAACATGACCGGCAAGACGAAAGTTTGACCGGTCAAATCCACAATCAGTCCGGACATTGTCCGTTGACCGGCCGTTATTTCGAGCCCTGCAAATCATCCTCCCTAATAAATAATACATGAGAGACATCTCACAAGATAACTATTGAAAATCGATGTCAGCTGCTACTGTCTTCATTATATCAAATAAGTTTTGGTTTTTGGTTTTCATGTCCAAGAAGGTGTTAAAAAACAAGATTTTGAGATAAAAGAGTGTGTATAATATGCGAGCCAGAGAGCCATGGCAGCGAGTCATGCAGGTCAGAATCAAAAACAGTAATACGGAAAGAATTAACTGTCAGGACCTAAAATCAAAAGTTTATTTACAAAAAACAAAATGTAACAATAAATAACTTTTATTACAATCTTTACTCTGATGTGTGAGCTTTGTTTTCTTGAAAGTGCTGTTCAATAGAAACATGAAGAACCGGCTATGAAAAAGAACTTTGGAAAACTTATGTTGTGTCCATGCCAAGTGCAGTAATCATTATTATTTTGGGCCAAAACTTGTCTAATAGAATTGTTTGAGGGTCCCCACAGAGAAGACTTGGAGAAAAGTGCTCCTCAAAGTTACAATGCCTCTGGTTTAAAGGCAACTCCAGAGTTGAAAACAATAATTTAGTATTATTCGGATGTAACATCAAATCCCATACAAGAGGATATTTTATAACAAACCATAACCTTGTTGATCTCTGACCTCTGGTCAAATCCGGTGGACTACAAGACTATAGTGTCCCATTTTAATCAATAGATCCAAAAGCATGTAACAAGCATAATTCTTAGTTTTCCAATATGTTTATTAAATCCTAAAGAGCCTCTTGCATTTGTTAAGCTTGACCAAATAATCAGTGAACTTCAGAAAGTGGAATAATTAAAAGCAATAGGTTTTTTTGAAGCGGGACAAAAACAAAAATGATCAGGGATGATATGTAAGATTTTCACTTCGTGGGCTTTCAAGAAGAAAACGAGGGCACAAATACCCTCAGAAATCCCTTGTAAACCTGTTGTATACCTGGACGGAACCGCTTCAAGACATAAACCAACAGAACATCATATTCGAAAAAACTGATATTTTACTCACAAATGACTCGCTTGCACCAAAACAATAACCTGAATTATAGCCGTCTTCTCCGGCCAGTCGCTCACTCGCGGGAGAGAAACAGAAGCAACGGGAAAAATTACATTAACACTTACTGTGAAAGCAAACATAGGGAAATGAATTATAGAACAACTCACTTTTTAGTTGTTTCCAAAGCGTTCTTTTTTCCTTATGATATAAAAAAATAATGAAATAAATAGGCACAAACTTGTTGGCGTGCTTACCTATTTTCGATGTACTGATTACATACGCAGTGCCTACGCGCGCGATAAGCGAAGAACTATAGCGCAAGAATGGTTACTCCCTGTCCTCAAGGTACTTCCCAATTCATAGTAACAAAAAGACAAATAAAAGGCTCGATAAAGCAAGAATAAACGAGAATTTTGGTCAATACTCTCTCCTCTCCTCTCCCTTGTCCGCCATTTTGTATGTTTTGAAAATGACCATCGCCATGGTGATCATGTTATGGTTGGTGACGTAGACCATTGTTTTCGCTTCTTCCAAAACTGGCATACTCCCGAACTGGAAACTGGGGCGAGTTTCAAATTTAAACCGATCGATAAACAGACACCACCACCAACCACCACCTAGCCTGCGAAAACATCCGTTTCTCCTCGCCCTTCGCCTCTGGGGACGTTTCGCGCGGAGGAACGTCCCCAGCGGTGAAGAGCGAGGAGAAACGGATGTTTTCGCAGGCTAACCACCACCATATAAAAGGTTATGTTGAGATTGGTTATTAGTCGAGTTTACTGCAGGGCGAGACTCTAAAAATGCAGGCGTTTTTTCTTTTTTTCCGTCGGTCTTCCCCAAAGAGATATTCTGTAACACATACTAGTAATAGTACACTTCATGACTCATACACGGCAGTATATACTATGGAATTCAATATACAGCCTGAGTATCAGTCCTTCCTAAGGGGCTACCTCCCTTTTTCGCTTCCATCTTTCCCCTTTTCCCCAGAAACGCCTGATACTCAGGCTAAATTCAATATGGCAGACAAAGCCCAGGTGCGGTGGGCAAAAATTTTTTTTTTGATCACTTCCTTGGGAGCTTGGAACCTAAGCCTAGAATAGTAACCAAGTCACCGTTGTAGTTATGTCCTCACGGTCTTGTGAACATGTCCTCTGACGTAATGTGATATGCAAGCCAATCAGGTCATGCGATCTATCGTGGTAGTCGCGGCATAGGACTGGAAAAGAAGCTCCGTTGCAGTTTGGTCTTCGAGCAAAATTTGCAGTTCTAGCGGGTCGAGGACGGTAGTAAAATTTGTCTTGCAAGGTCAAGTAAACATGGCGGTCGAAAGGCTGCGAAGGAGACTATATTTAATACTGTTTTGGCATTGTACAATAAGTACAGCTGGAAACTTTTACATGTAATACCGAAAGGTAAGTCGCAGTCAGTGTTTTAATATTTGAAGTTGTAAATCTTCTCTTTTTGCTTGATAAATTTACAATGTGCGTTGTCCAACCCCTTTTAAGCATGAAATAAGCTTAAAATATAATAATAAACTTCCAAGTTCTACCAAAATAAAACTTAAGTTGTTTTTTCTGCTATTGTATAACCTTGATCCTGACAAACTAAGACAAGCTGTTTTCAGTCACTGTTGAAAAATTATCGGCTGTAGCAGCCTCCTCCACAGGCGCTTCGTTTTTCGCATGGCAGAGGCGAGCGCGAAAGGAGTGACTGGTGATGAATCGCAAGGGAGAGATACGTTTGGGTACGAGGCAGGGCACTGTACAGTATGTGGTCTTTGGTCCGCGTGTAAAAGTCATTAACTTGAATATCTTACCCGAATCTTCATGTAACGAGCTGAAATACTCCCTGAAGATAGCTTTTATGTTCCTGTCGATAATCCTGAAGTTTCAAGTTCCAGACATAAATATTTTGCTTGGAATTCGCAAGAAGGCGACCGTTTTCGATGGTCCTTGGTCCGCGAATCTGGTCCTTGGTCCGCGTCTCAGGTAAGCCGCACGATAAAAACGTAAAAATGTTATAGTTTCCACACCAAACATGTAGACATGTATAGGGACGACTTTCAAAACATTCTTCGAAAACAAAGGCCGTCGCTTTTTACTTTGGGAAGTTTTATTCAACCAAGGTCATAGGACGCGGACCAAGGACCGCTAAGCGAAATTTGGTGATATTTTTCAAGAGTCGCTAAAACAAAAAATTCAGAGTCTACAGCAATATGCTTCCAACAGCAGAAATAAGTTGATCTGAAAACCTGTTCTGCAAAAGGGCAGGTCTTCCCGTTGCGTTTTAGTTATTCACAGGCTAAGTAAACATGACCATGTAATTTACGGTGCCGCAAAAATCCAAACTTCAAGAAAGACAAATTAACCTACCTGTCAACAAACTTTAATTTCGCGTCTTCACCCGCAGCAAGAAGGCTGAAAGCTAATCAGTAAATCACGATATCTTTCATCATTCAACGTATTTTTTTCTTGACGAAATATTTTATCATTTTCGGAAAAGACGCGGACTAAGGGCATCGGGGACTTCCACGGGCCAAGGACCACATACTGTATAGATTGGAGTTCAAATTTAATTTGAGGTGATATACAGGACCCCACAAGCTTTTAAGAGCTTTAAAAACTACAACAACAACAACATCATTAACTTTATCATATTGAACAGATATAATTACATCATATTATTATCCCCCCTGCCAAAAAAAAAAAAAAAGACTACTGTGTTTAAATAAAGGTTATGTATGCATGTATGTATATATGTATGAATATGTTGTGGTTCAATTTCATCCTTGGTTTAAATTTTATGTCCCTTTGTTTTAAAACTCATTATCATACATTACCATACCTCAAAACAAAGGGGAATAAAATTGAAACCAAGAATAAAATGAACCACAGCATATATAACCCGAACCCTGACCCTAGGAAATGCAACTACTATTTTTACTTAGGCCTAGAAATGTGCTTCTGGGACTCATCTTGCCAATGATAGGAGTTAAAATGGCTCGCCAAACACACTTTTTGTATCTGTTACTAAGGTCAAGCTTTTTCCAGAGTTCTATGTTGAATACTCAGGGACCAGGGAGCTATGGGGCTGGTTGGAGAGTAGAGCCCCCACCAACAAAACTTCACCATGATTTTTTTAAATATTAAATTTACAAAAGTACTTATAATATTTGTGTTATAAAGCAAACACAATTTATTCAGTTAAATGTATGGTTTTTGTGCAGAAAACTAACCGAATGGTGATAACAATTTGATAAAATCTTACAACTGTTAGAAATAAATGTGTTTTTGGTGATGTCAGAATCTCAAAAATGTCAAAACTTTCTAGTAGTGGCACTGAGGGGGAGGGGAAGAGCTTGCACCTCTAACACTAATTTGGCTTGTTCTCACACAAGCTAACACAACCAATCCAAAACATGCTCCCTGGTCCCTGATATGGTCTAACTTCAAAACAGATCTGACATCAGTAATCCAACAAGACATTAAGTGATTTTTCACTCTTGTGAATAACAATTGTTGCCGAGTTACAATGAATCTATATGGAGTCCTTCATCTGCGTATATGGATATTATAATTGTAATTGTTTCAATAATCAAAGTTAATTGCAAGGGAAAATAGTTCTACACATGACTGTATTAATGCTAAGCCATTTCTATGTTTTTTGCCTCCTTCTGTCCTTCAACACAGTGGATTCAGAACTTCTTTCAGAGATTGCTCTATCTTTTAGGACCAGCATTAGGTAAGTTTTTCTTGATGTTATGGGCAAGATTTCTCTTTCTTTTTTGACTGTTGAATGTTTTTGTAACTTTGATGTTGGCATCTTTGCTACTGTTTGATAACATGGGACGACGACCACTTGGTTGTGCACTTGTAGATTTTATGCCAGACTTCCTTCTGGAAATAGCTGTTGGTTGTACTTTAATTCTGGAGTCGTTATGCAAGACTGGCAAATAATTTCCACCCCTATCTTTTCCAAACTGTGCATAGGCAGTAGCAAGTGAAGCAATGGGCGCTTGTCCCCTACACTTTGAAGTGATTCTCCTATACAAAGTCAGGTATTTATAATAGCAGAACCTGAAGTTAGTATCACTTGTTCTAAGCTTGTACTGAATATCTTGGGAGACTTGTTGGTGAAGCCTAATTATTTGGTCAACTGGTAACTCAGCATCTGGCAAATTGGCATCTGTTTGTGAACTGATGCAGTTGTCATTGGTTTCTGTGCCAATACTTTCTTGTGAGTCAGCAGGCATTGAAGGTAATATTACTTGCTGTTCATCATGATCCTTGACTTGGTCTTTGTAGAAGTGAGGACTGCTTTCAATTTCTTTTTGGTGAAGGCTTACAAACTGGGTGACACTGAAATTGTTGTTATTCCCAACAGCAAGAATAGCAAGGTTGAATCTCTCCTTTGCTGTTTGAGGAACAAAGTTTATGTTGCTTATTCCAAATTTCAATGCCACAGCTGCTTTGTGGGGGCAGGCATTTCCACTTGTTCCCTGTGGGCATGTACAGGTTCCTATTGTACAGTCAACAGTGTATATGATGTTGCTGTCCTCCCAGCTGGGCACATGGAATTTGCTTGGATTTTTTTCATCAATGGTTATTGTTCTTTGACTAACAGAGCTAGCTAATCTCCCAAAACAACGTGCTGCAAGGTGTAGATTTTCTGGTTTACCAAAAGTCAAGGAAAGAAGTTTTCTTTGAAAGTACATTTCTAAGTCTTCTGTGATAAATTTAAATAACTCAATAAGGTTGTAAGCTCCCATTCTTCTTAAAACTACACATTTAAAAACAAAGATCATAGACTCTGTGTAGTTGTCTATATTATTGCCTCGTGTTCTCAGATTTCCTCTGTAAGAAAGTGCCCATTCCTTCCTTCTACCTATGGCCTTGTTTAAATATTCTTTGTATGGGGAATATTTCTGTAATACAGTGTATGATGGAAAAATCTGCTCAATCTCTTCAAATTCTTGTTGGGTTTTGGCAAACACAAGGTCCTGCATTATGGACATCAGGTGTTGTTTGTCATCCTTTAAAATGGAGTGCTTGGAGTCCAGTAGCCATCTCCATGTTGCTTGCAAAAAGTGAAAAATGCACAGCAGGAGTGTTGCCTGTTGCCAGTGGACTCTAAGAGCTTGTCTCTGGCCAGTGTCATCATCTGTCATGAAAATGTCAGGTCCTTTTTGGGGATCTTTGCCACCGAAAGCATGACTTGGCAGAATGAATTTCAATTTTTCCAGACAGTTTTCAAGACATGGCTGTGATTGGCTTGATGTCACCCAGACTCCAAGAGGTAATGCTCCACACGGATGATGAGTGCACATAAAGAAAACAGGGTTGTTGTATCGATCAAGGCTCCCTGATGAGTCCATAAAGGCCATCTCACCAGCTTGCCTAGTTTCATGTACACGTGACATCAAAGGGGTGCATATGGATAAGATGAGATCTTGTTTATCTGGACCATTTCCGTTAACCCTTTGCAAGTTACACTTGCCTCCCTTATCTGCATTGTCCTTGTTATAGTCATCAACAATTTCTTCCAGGCGATCAAACATTACAGATCCATTGGATGGATCCTTCTTTTCAACCAGCCATTTGTCATGTAAATTGTTAATGTCTCTCAGAGAAGGGCACATTCTCCGATCAGCCAGTAGCATGAGAGTTACTGGATCCTTCATCAACAGGGTTTCATGAAGATGAAATGCTTCTGAGGCACTTATACCCTCTTCAAAATAAGCAAAAAATGTTTCTTTGGTTGCTGGCAAAATAGGGCAAAATGAAGTTAAATGAAAGCAATCCACACTGTGATTGTGGTTCCACCAAAGCTCTATTTCACACAGAAATGGCATACTGGTACTTTTTTTCCTGTTAATTCTAATGAACAATTTGCTGTCGCAATCTGTTTTCTTTTCCCTTGCTTTTGATAGCAAGTGCAACTTGCATCCTTCCTTGTCACTGTTGTCTTTGTGTGTCCTGTGCCTCTTTTCTTTTCTTTTCAGTGCAGCCTCCTTTGCTGCCACTTGCTTTTTTGTTAATTTCTTGCGTTTACACTGACAAATGTACCATCGTGCATAAATGACTTTTATCCCCTTTCGTTTGTAACCACTCTGTGCATTGTATTTAATATTTGAAGATGTTGTAAATTGCTGCAGCCACTGGTCGACATCTTGCTTGGTTGTGATGTTACTTAAAGACAATTTTACATAGAAGTTTTCTTGAGGTGCACCTGTAAAGTTTTGTGATGGAATTTCTCTGAATTCATGGCAGCTGTATTGATAACCAGTTGGCAATACTTTTTGAACAGACTGTGGAATCTGATGGCTTCTACTAGAATCAGCTTGATCTGCATCTTTGGCATATGTGTGGTCATCTATGTGGCTTGCTGTTGTATTACAGCGTGTAATATGAGAATTTGACTCAGGATCTTTTTTGGGTCGTTTTTTAGGACTTTCAAAGTCAGAATCCGAATCTGATGGGTAAGGCGTCTTTTGTGCCTTTCCTTTCAGACTTGTGCAAGAGGAATTGGTGTCTATTACACTGTCTTTGGAGAGACCATAACATTCCACAGAATGATGATCTGGTTCTGTGGAGATGTTGCAAAGGGGGCCACCATTGGCGATATCCAAGATCAAGGAATATCTGAAGTCAATAATTTGCTTCTGTGAAAAGTCCAGTGGCCGTCCCTCTGCAATATGTTGTGCCCATTTCACAATAAAGACACCACAGTCAACTGAATTGGATTGTTGTTCAATTTCAGTAGATGGAATTACATAATACTGCCATTCTTTCCAGTCAATTACTTTGCTTTGGCTGACAAACACGCACTCTAAAAAATTAGTGAACCTTTTGAACGCAGTTAAGGCACCAACACCATTATACAAAGAGTCAAGGTAAACCATTCTCTTCTGTTTCATCTCAATGTCAACAAGGCACCAGTGATCCCCATGCAGTGCAGGGCACAGGATTGTCTGATGTTGGAAGATTCTGATACAGTAAGTCATATTTACGCTTCAAAAAGGTATTCATTGAGAAATGTGTCATGTTGTAGACATCAAAGTTGACAGTAGAAACATTGTCTTTACTGGCTTGAGACTGATTTTCTATCAGCAAAACAAGATAGTCCATTACAAAATTGGAAAGTTTTCCTTCACTGATCTTGTGTTTAGCTGGAAGGAGCTTTTCAACATCGGTTGGCTCCCATGCTTTAACTCTAGGATGCCCTACAATTTCAACTCCAGCCATGGCAATCCCTTCTGCTTTTCTGATAGATGCTGTGTCCAAAGTGGAATATTTCCAGGATACACTTGCAGTAGCAGTCTTGAAAATTCCAGGTTTTCCAGCTTTGATGTGTAGTAACCAGGGGGGATAGAAGACTTGATAGGAAACATCTTTCCTTTTTGGGTCTTAAGGGGCACTTGGGGTTGACATTTTTTTTTAACCTTCAAATTGCTCGACATTGCGGAAACGTGTCTAACCTCTTGCACGTCTTCAATGTCATCTTTCTCATAGAAAAGGAGGTATGCTTCTTGGCTTGTGGCTTCCAGAGCTGAAGACTGGCGGATAGTGGCATCACTTGAATAATACCACTCGTCTCCTCTTTTGAAGTAAAAAATGTAATGACCAGAGGAAATCTTGGTGCCTTCATGGACAATGACAGCTTTCAGTTGATATGAGACATCAGTTGCTGTGGTTCCTTTGTCTGAAGAGTTATGGTGTTCCGGAAAACAAAACTTTCTCCTTGTAATCTATCAAGTTGCCAAGCTTTTTACCATCATTTTGAAATCTTACAATCTGAATGCACAATGACAGAGGGGATTGGCATGTGAGCAACCTCTTCCATGCATCAGTACTTTTTGAGCAACTGATGGGATAAAAATGGAACAGAAATAATTTAACATTAATTACCCAAGGACAAACAGATTATTACCATGTAATGTGTACCTAAGGCCAGGTTGAATTACTTTTTTTGAATAAATCCTTTTTTTAATAAACATAAAAATTTGCTTGTTTATGTTTTTTTTTGCTTGTGTATGTTGGTTTGTGTTTGAGTTGAACATTATTCCACTTTTGTTACCTGCTACAATAATAAGATGATTCCAGTTCCACTGGATGGAAATAATCCTTCAAGAAGCTCTGTACAGTACAACCCTTTCAATTTAATAAAGAAAAAAATTAGGACAGGAAAAAGAGGGAATAATAGCCACCCGATAAATAGGCATATAATTTTGGCCCATTGCATCATCTTACCTGCAAAATGTATCTGGCCAGAATTAATAATATATCTACTAGAAATATGTGTATCACAGAACCTCTTGGGGCCCGGGGGGGGGGGGGTGGAGAAGCTGATAAAATGTCAGGGATTGAAGGGGGGAGAGAATTGGAATGCAGGGTGTAAATTGAATTGAAAAGCAGGTTTCCACACAGGGTCTAATTTTGGAAGGTGAGATGTAGTTAATATCCTTTGGATAAACCACTGCTCTAGCATCAAGAAGAATCACATGGTATTTAAATGGGGTTCCTAAGTTACATTTTCCTGTTGTCAGGTTTGTGTCAACATTCAACATTCAATTTTTTAAATTTGAATAATTATTAAATTTTGGTGAATTAGCAAAATCATGATCAATGACTTTTATTGTGGTCTACCTGGTACTAGTTTTTTTGTGTACTTAGGTATTTGTTTTTGGGACTGCCTTCAGAGGTGTAAAATGAAAAAATTATTCATAACATTTACTCATACCTTTGTGATATTTAGTGGGAGAATAGTTTCCATTGTAGTGGTAGAAGTGACACTGCTACATGATGAACACATTACTTCACTCCTCAGCTCAAAGAAAAAGGATCGCAGAAAGGCAAGGTTGCAGTTGGCAGGAATTAAATTTTGACTCTTTTTTGTGCCTTTGCCTTTGTGTCAATAACTGGCCGGGAACACGACTAATAATATATGTTGACTTTCACTTGTGCTCTAATGCAAACCTTTTATTATTTTCAAAACAAAGCAATAACACAGTTCAATGATTCAAAAGGACTAGTGAATTAAGCTTATCAAATAATAATAACTCCACTTTTACTACTTGTTCATTTTGCGGCCCTGAAAAATATTGTAATGTTTTGTTACTTTCTTCCTTTTTCATTTCTTGTTTCCAGCTTTATTATAAGCTTAATTATTATAAGGCTAATTATAAATAAATATATATAATAATTAGGTGGTGGTTGTGCGAGGTGTCAAGTTTTCAAATGAAGTATTTTAGCATGAGTTTAGGGGCCGACCATTTAACTCTTGAGGGGAGGGGTGGGTAATTTCTGGTCATCGAGAATTTTTTTTCTAACAATCTGGTGGGCAGGATATTTTTTCCCTTTTGTTCCCATAAGCTTTCTATTACATTTGTGCTGCATGCAATTTTTTTCTTCCGACAAGCGCTTGCAGCAAAGGTTTTTTCAAAATCACCCACCTCCCCCCCCCCTCAAGAGTTAAATGGTCGGCCCCTTATGCAAATTGTGTTCGCACGGTAAGCTATTTAAAGCTGTAAGTGGATTACAATGCTGTCAAATATATGCCTAATTCAACAATTGGCTGGCCACCTCAATGTTTATTGCTCTCTTACGAGACGACAATGAAGGTTTTCAATACCTGTTCTCGATGAGGTGTACTTCTTGCGATTGTGCTTCACGCCAGCGAGTCCTTCTACAAAACAGGTCACTGACAGGAGACCTTGAAGGACGCTATTCAAAAAGCGAGTATTCCCGAGGTTGGAAATTCCCTTTGGATTCATTTCGGAAGCGACTGCTGTCAGAATTAAAAATTTTAATTCGAAGAAGAAAGAGTAACGCAAAGACTGGACGTTCGTGTACACCACAGCTGTGTACACACACAGCGACATTCGATGAGATAATTTCTTTCCCGCGTAAAGAACCAAAAAGTTAAACTTTCCCGCGATTTTGGGCAGTCTTACACCAAGTAGTACCCACAGCACTAACAGCAATGGGCGGTGGCCCGGGACATTTTGGGCAGTCTTACACCAAATAGTACCCTTATATTTATATACCTTTTGACATATTCCATTCTGTAAAATACAGTAAATATAAGCCTTTCTTTTCATAATAGGTTAACCTGCATTACTGTTTTATGAATTTCACTGTTGTTTTCCAAATTTAATTATGTACATTACTTGATTACATTCGTTTTTCACAGGACAGCGAAATGTCATCAGAAGGTTCTGGCCCGGCTCTGACCATGATGTTGAGGTGAAATTTAAGTCTACATCACTAGCTATAATACTTTCTTTTTAAGAACGACATAAATTTCTCGATAAAAATAGATAAATGATGGCCATACAAAAAGAGGAAAGCAAAGGAAAAAAATGATAAGAATGAATTGACTAGCTCGACACTTAACTTGCATAATGTGTTGTGTTGTGTTTATTCACCCGGTTTATTTTTGAGGTTTATAATTCTTTTTTTTTTTTGTTATTTTTGTTTTGTTTTCAGCTTTAATTTCTTATTCATTATAGGAAGTTAATGATGATGATGACCACCATCCCCCAGCGGTCGTCAGACGGGCAAGGAAAAAGCAGGTATTAATCGTATGTTATTTCTTTCAAGCATGTATTAATGATGAAACTTCTTTGCAACACATGGACGGCTTTCAGATGCCAAGTAAAGTGGAATAGGTTGGTGCAAGTTATTGAGATGCTGTTTCTTTGTTGGTATTTTCTCACTTAAATCAGAAAAGAACCGACTGCTTCGCTGTCTGGTGAGAAGTTAGCAACCTCGTTCCCAGGTTCTCTTTCCTGAGAGAACCCTGGGAACGAGGCTGAGAAATTGGCCATCAAGGGACTGGCCTGAGGTGGGGAAGGCAAGCCCGGAGTCAGCCCGAACGCGGAAAAGAAACGAGCCATCGTTGTGGAGAGTAAGGTGGGGAGACAACCTGATAACTGGTGTCTGTTTTTATTAATAGAGAGAGAATGAACATGATAAACACGTCTTCTAACCTCGTCACCAGGGCAGGAGAGGCGGGTCCGGAAAATTAAAAGTGGTCTCGAATCACGATCACTGAAAATGACCACGGCCAAATTTATAGTCAAGGGGCGCAAAGCATTACAACTACAACAAGCATGCGCGAACCGGAGGGAATGCGCACGGGTTAAAGAAATACGACAGACTCCCTCACAGGGCATGCGCCGTACGATGTGACATCATCGTATTGAAATGGGAAGGCAGATCAACATTTCTGTCGATCTTTGTGCCAGTAAATTCAATAAGACAAACTTAAAAGCAACTGGCACACACGTGACCAACCCACGGCCTGGCCAGTACCTAAACGCAGGTAGGCAAGTAGGTAGGTACTGGCCAGGCCGCGGGTTGGTCACGTGGGTGTCACTTGCCCTTTTAAGTTGGTCTAAGTATAATGTAAACAATTTTATATAATACAGAAAGCACGACGAACAGTTCTCGTCACAGCTTACTTCTAACCTGCACTTGTCTTTCACAGAATATTGCAGCCATGTGTCTTGAAAACCCAATGTGTTTACGACGGAACCAAACCGGTGAAACAGAACTAAACGAGACTGAACAAACAGGAAAAAACTGCTATGAAAGTGGCGACGAAAGCTGTTACACACCTCATTTTAGCGCCGAAGTTGACCTTATTGGGATTTTCTTGGCTTTCCTTATTGTTGTCTTAAACACTATGGTTTTCATCCTTGTGGCAAAAAAGCGGTCATTAAGGACAACAACTAATAATTTCCTGATAGGCCTGGCAGCCAGTGATCTCCTAGAAGGCCTCATCGGCCTACCTCTAGTTATCACATGTAACATTTTTATGGAGCACGGAGTTTGTTTTTCCACTATTTACGTGTGGATGTTTACCTCCTTTCTGACCATGTCGCATATCATGGCTGTTACTGCTGATCGCTTCATAGCTATCATGTTTGCTCTGCAAATATCCTCAGATCATTACCAAGCGTCGTAGCCTGAGTATCAGGCCTTCCTAAGGGTCTAGGGAAGAGGAGATTTTTTTCGCTTCCATCTCTCCCCTTTCCCCCCAGAAACGCCTGATACTCAGGCTACAAGCGTCGCTGCTATGTCACTCTGGGGTTTGTCTGGACCTTCTCATTCCTGTTGTCACTGCTTCAGTTATGGTGGATACAGCCTACAGACTACGATCGCAACGAGAGTATTCCTGAAGAACATTTAAACAAGGAAGTAGCTCATTGTATAGCAAGCCTTGTAGTATACCTCTTAGCACCCACGGGGCTCATGACATTTACTTATCTCATGACGTTTTGCGAAGTACGGCGACAGAATCGTCAACAAATTTTAAACGTGCCGGCAGATTTGCAAGAACACCGGCGATGGAATAAGCGAGAAGGCAAAGCCGTTACCGTTTTCCTTGTGATGTTCATAACGCACGTTGCATGTTGGCTACCGTTTTTTCTGTTAAGATACCAGCAAGCGGTTGACGCCTTCTATCTACCTGACTGGGCCGTGTACATGATCGCGTATTCTCGGTTTGTGTCACCAGTTTTAAATCCGTGCTTGTACATTTTCGGCAAGCACGACTTCAAGAAAGCTTGGAAAGATCTGTTTATTTTCAAAAATACGGATAGAGACCGGACAAGATCTGATTTGCTAATGAGTAGTCAGTTGTAATTACAGTCCAGTATAACGCTGTTTTTTAAGACCCAATACTTTTAAAATATTGACTGAAACACGGCCAAAATTCCTTTATCATTACTTACTTACTAATATACTTTAATACTTAATTCTAGCTGCTAAGGACAGAACAAGGAAGCTTCGAACACCTGTTGCTACTTAAACCTAAATCATGTATGATATGTGCAATCAACTTTGGTAGTGATACAATTTGGATCTGTCACAGTTTCTCTGATCACACAACGTTTGTTTCCTGCTATGAATCAGAAACTTCTTCATTACACACTAAATTTTCAAAGTACGATAGCGTAGTCAATAATGTTGTCGTCTCTTCTCTATTTAATTTAGAAAAGATGATGGTATCAGTTCTCCAAGTCAGGGGTCTTGACAGGCCCGTAGGGAGGGGGGAACGACGGGTGTGTTGGCAACCCCCCAACAGGCCCATTGGTCCCCTTTTTTGGTTATGTGAATTAATAGTATTTTTCAATTTCTAATTCACTGATTGTGGAGCACAATACAACTGTTTATCTTGTATATTTGGTTTTCTTAATTCAGACCATGTGATGTTCTCCAGGGAATTTGCCTTTTTTCTTTTCGTTAATTATGCATACATAGGCACGTGGATGCACGTGCGTAAGACGAAATTTGAAAAAAAAAACCAGTTCTCTAGGGTACCATCACGTGGTCTGAAATGGGAAAACAAAACTTACAAGCTAAAAACGTCTTTTGAAAATTCTGTGAAGAGTTGACAAGCCAGTGGCTCACGCTTTCCACAAAACGTGTTTAGCCTTCGTGTAAGAGTATAAAAAAGGAGGATTTGGTATGCCTAAAGGCATTTACCTCTTGCTAATTCTACTCTTTCATTTTGTTGGGTAAGGTCTCTTTTGAAGGATTCGTAGTGCCGACTGAACAAATGTTTCATTTGCCACTTTTCTTTCACTAAGAGGTCATCTGGTCTTTTACTGTACAGTGGCTGCCTGTGGTTTCTTATCTTTGCTCTATAAGAAATTGACCTCTGATCGCTTGCAGAAGATGTTAGTATTTTCCTTTCTAATTTTCAAAAGTGGATCGCTAACCTTTACGCTTTGTTTCCACAGTTTCCTCCAAAGTGTTGGATCAGAATTATTATTTTTAACAGTGAGTAAAAGGCTCCATGGTATGGTTTTGACAGATGCTGGACCCAGCTCTCTAGCGTTGCTTGCAGGATATTAAAGCCCCTATTAAAGCTACCCTACTTTTGTAGGAAAAAAAAAATTACACTGTCACTAAGTCAACGGCTTTGCTTTCATCAGTCAACTCCGAGCCCTTTCATACTGGTTTTCAGTGTCACGCCATTCAAAATAGATCAAAATAAGAATCAAAACCGTTCAATAGATAAAGTCCAGAATCTGGGAAATGAAAGGAGGTACATATACAAAGACCCTCGCCAAGATTCAGGTCAGAGGAATATTTCGTATACAAGATATCCGAAGAAATGTTTTACCCAAACTTATAGAGATTTGTATGGAGACGCCATGCTGGTGCAAACCAACAGAAACATCCTGTTACCGAGTTTTGCTACAAAAGCGTGAATTTATTCTTCGAGAAACTCATAAACATTAAAGTAATACTTTTTCTAATACATGAACTGTTTAGATAGCAAAATTTCCTGACATAAGTCATTTTTTAAAGCTGCATGACAGCTCTCTTAGCCGTCATGTAAATGCCGCGTCACGCCAAAGCTTAGAAATTCAAGCGTACTCTATCACAAAACCAAGAACCCTTTTGAAGCGAAAATTTGTATGAAAATTAGTTTTCAGCCTCTCTAATGCATCGTGAAAATAAAATCTCCGTAGGATCGATAGTTTTTTAGTTTGAATTTTAGTGACGTCATGTGAAAACCAGCAAATCTTAGCACTGGAGCACGATGATTTTATTATTCATCCCTTACATTTAACTTTTTGTTTTTTTTGTGTGGCGAGGAACAGTTCAAACGTTATGTCTGGCTCAATGTTGACCTTACGTAGATACGCATTTATTAGGCCATATCAAGGATCCGAAATTCCAGATTTTTAATTGGCTGCTTAGCAGCCACTCACAAGGGGTGGATCACGCATCCTCTTGTGCTTCAAAGACTGTTCCTTTTTTTGTGTAGCCCTTTGTTTCAGAGTATAGTTTAAAATAGCTGCTGTTTTCTGTGACCCTGAAAAAGAAGTATTTCCGGCACAAGAGAGCCTCTCTGGCCGGGCTCTTAAGCGCTTCCACTATCTAACATACATTGATCTGAAAGAAGTCGTTGATCTGTTTCTAAGAAGCACCCAAGTAGGCTTATTTTGGCACATTATTGGTTGATTTTTTCTCTTGCGGCGCTTGGCTTTGAGGAAAGAAAGACGACCGTTCACGGTCTACAACCTGCTCGCAGGTTAAACATACCGTAAATGATCTGATAGACGCCCCAGGGCGTCCATTTAATTTTTGGACCCCAAGCAGGCGCTAGATAGATAGGAGGCGTCAGAGAGGCGTTTATTCTCATAACTGTATCAAATTTCACAAAACTACAATGGATTCGGAGAGTATATCGGTGCAGTATATAAATAACAGAGTATCTAGTCCATCTATTGGTTAATCAAGGCCGTTTAGAGAAAAGCTCAACTTCGATGTCAGAATCCTTACTTTGAACTTGACGTTGAACAAAATGCAACGCGAAAACTCTTGTTAAAAGAAAAAGGGAAAAAATTGAATAATTGTGTCGATTGTTGTTACTACATCCTAGTATCTTTGCTTTATCAGAAATTGACCTCTGATCGCTAGCAGTCTATTGGACAGGGGGCGTTAACTATAGAGGGCTGTTCAATACAAACTTAAAAGTGTTGGGGGAGGGGTGCCTATTAGCGTCAAGAAGAGTTTTTTGGAGAGAGGGCTTCTGTTAGATCATTTACGGTACAAACAGTTCAGTGTAAGACCGTTAAAATGTCAAACCACAGATGAACGCTAGCGAACAGCTTCAGAAATTAGAGTGGTAGGCTTCGTAATTTGTGCTGATTGACTTGCTCCAGCGGTCTGATGTTGTAAGAGGGTGAACACTGAGTTTTGGGAGTGAATGAAACTAGAATAGGATTTCTG